TGAATCGTCTCAGCATCTTTATTTCCAAGTGCCCTCTCTCATATAGGTACACAAAGATGACTCGTTAGATTGTCTATAGTTCTGTCTTTCAGATTCAATACCATCGAACTTGATTTGCACGCGTACTTGTTGTCCAGTGCATCTAGGATTTTGCAGATTCGGAACATATGCAATTCCTGCCAGACTTCACACGCTGTCTCAGATCTCATTACCCTTTTTTAGCGCATTTTTACAAAAATAAAAAAAAATGCGCTATTGTGGCCACTTTGTCCGTCCGCTCGTTTTGAGACGCTACTAGTTTTTTTTATCTTAGGAGCTATTGGTCTACTTTTTTCGCTATTTGGTTCGTTATGGTGTCGAGTTTTGCACCAAGGAAGCAATTTTTTCTGTACCGCTTACAAAAAAAGTTATTGTAAAAAAACAAAAGACCGTTTTTTACATGTTCCATAATTTTACACTTTTGCCGTTTATTAACGATCCCTAGAGATCGTTTATAATTTTGCATTGCTGTCTGTCCGTCTGTTTCTTTGTCTGTCTGTCCCTCTATCTGTCCGTCTGAACGATAACTTTGTTTAGAAATGTCCGATCGCTCTTACATCTCCGTTAGTTATGAACTGAATTGCATGAAATTCAATATGGGCATAGATTTAGCCATATAATACGCAATGCCAAAAGTTGAGTCGAATCGATTCAAAATTCACAGTGCCCTTTTCGCATCTTGACCATTTATAAATCGAATTACAAACTTTTTTAATTATAAAAGTATTTAAATGAAATTTGATACATAGCCACTTGGAATAAAAGCAAATTTAAGGCCAATTGGTTGTGCGCATGCGCAGTGCCAACTTTCCTATTCATGGAGGGATTTAAATGAAATTCGATACATAGCCACTTGGAACAAAGGCAAATCTAACGTTAGCTTCAAAATTTAGGTTTGCGCATGCGCAGTTCCAACTTTCTTATTTAGAAAAGCATTGAAATGAAACTCTTCTTAAAAACTGAAATTGAAGTAGCACGTCAAAAATGGATTGCACATGTGCAACGCTATCTTTCATATTTGTGGCCGGATTTTTACAATTTTAACAAAAGTTGCATCTTACAAATGAATGCAAGTGGAAATGCGCTTTATGTAAATCGTTTACGATTACTTTTTAACTTGTCTCTTCTGTCATGTTCGTTGTGATAATGAGCAGAGCGCTACTTTCAGACTTCTTGTACTTGGTTAATTGTAAAGTATAATCGCCGAGGGCTTTATCTTCAATCGGCTTCTTCAGCTTACCTTCGACTACCTCCATGGCACCTTCTGGTGTATCACGTAGCATTATAGAAACCTTTTATTTCCAAGTTTCCGATTTGAAGTTTTGTCGAATATCCTTTGCATCTTGAACCTGTTACGCACCTTACTACTTCTCCAGTTCAGGGTCTAATAATGTAACCGGCTTTAATAATATCCAGGGCTGTAGCCCCCATAGTCTCCCCCTTAATCAAGCGCTGCAGCCGACGACTTCTGCAATGGATCAGATCGAATTTCAAGCGTGCTTTCGACCCAGTTCAACGATTATATGGACATGGTTCACGCAAACGAGGTGAGTACGTCACTGTCCGTAACAGAAATAAAACTACATGTAATTTTTTTTAGTTATTGGTCATGCGAGTAGCTCGTGGTGATCGTGAACTCCGATGTTGATGGTACTTCCTAAGCCACAGTGGATTAATATAAGGCTAAAGGTAAATTTGCACATCTTTATTAAGACGTAATAACAAATATAACTCAAAAGTGCCTCTCCCCCTCGCTCTCCCCTATGGTGTCTCTTTCAATAAAGAACCCCCCTTCCCCCCAACATTACTTTTTTGATTAATTTTAGATACATTCGCATATTTTATTTTTCAACTTATTTTTCTTCTTGTTTCAGATTTTAGAAGAGCGGCCTTATAAAGGTAGGATTTTCCTTTTCTATGCATGGTTGTAGTGGGGGAAAAGTGAAGTGTATAGTGCGACTAAAAGTGATCCTTAGTGACTTGTGGAAATCGGTTCAGTTTTTCAACTGGGTTGATTCTTCCTAAGGTCCCTCTCGCGGCATCAATCAGTTTGCTTTGTGTCGATCGGTATGACTATGACTTCATAGCCATACCGATTTTACGAAGCGAAGTGATTTTTTGGAGGCAATTCTTTTATTTCTAAGATGAGATTAGGAGCAATCTTCCACTAATCTTCTTATTGTTCTCAGAACTATATAGGTACTGGTCGGCTTACTGTGCACAGATATACGGTATATCTGTGCTGTAAGATTCCTCTCACTAGGGTACCTATGCGTAACAATCTTCCCTTTAACTATAATGAGTTCTGATGGTTAAACATTTTCTAGGTCTAGGGGAGTGGAATACCCCTCAGTATATAATGGTTCGTGGTAACCTTTTGTAAGGTAATCGACTCTCTGTTACTGGGGGATTCCATACTCCTCAGACATCCTGGTACTGCGTGCCCAGTTGCATTTCTTGGTGTTAGGGGGTACGCGGCAATCTCACCTCCCCCCACTCCTCACCGGGTACTTCTTTTTCTGTCGTATTTCCTCGCAGTAGGGTATGCGTGGCAGTATTCCCTTAATGCATAATGAGTTCTGAAGGTTAAACGGTTGTGGGCAGGAAATGGGGATGGGAATGATTAAACTATAATGAGTTCTGATGGTTAAATTGTGTTTAGACGACACCCGACATAGATCACTAGATATTAATGCTCTCACAGGCCAATTATATTCGTTCAGCATAGCTAAAAGATTTGTAAAGTTGAGTATCATCCGCGTAAGCCTGCAATTTGCAGAAGTTGCACGCATGCACAATGTCCGCGGTGTACATAGTAAATAGAAGTGGACTTATAATTGGCCCTTGAGATACTCCAGACAAGATGGAGTGCCTACCAGATAATTTATTATTACATTGATAGTAGGGGATACGTGGCAATCATCCCAGTTAATGTACGTAGAAATATTCAAAATTGTTGAGTGAACCTAACTTTTTTTTACTAAATGTGTAGTGCCCTGTACACTTGTACAGGGTGTTTTTTTGGGAGCTTTAGTTAAACGTTTCTGGGAAAGTAGAATACGTAGGTTTTTGAAAATTTGTACTTAGGAGTTACTCTGAAAACCGAATCTATGTAAAATATTTTCAAAATGTCCGCACTTCCGGAAACACCGGAAGTAGATAGTAACTTCGTTATTTTAAATTGCAATCCCTATTTTTTATTGCATTTTTGGATTCTACGTTCTTTTGATACCCATATGTCATATCTGCCATTTATGGTTTTTAAGTTATTTTGACTTTAAGAAAAAAAATGGCGGATGCAGATGGTACTTTGATAATTGATTACTTAAAAAAGGTTATAGTCATGGCAACCCATTTCTATCAGTGCATAGAGAATGAATAGGGCTTTCTTTTAGTGTACTTAAAAAAAGTTAAGTTGCGTACAACCGCACCTATGGAGATCCAAATTTAAGAAACTTCAAAGTCTATAAACTGAGATTTTTTAAATGGAATTGACCATGTTATCTTAATATTGCATGAGATAGAGAATCAAAATTGGCATATTTTGATATTACATGTTCCTATAGCTATCTTTAACAGTTTCTGATTTATTCGCATTTCATTGAATTGATCTCGGAATTGATGCCATTTTTGTCACATTTTCTTTTTAGTAGTTGGCCATGATTTTATAACAATCGAATTTTAAACAAATCACGGAATGGATTCTTTAATACCATTGATTCTAGTTCTAGTCTAAAATAATTCATTAATAAATAACTCATTTATTAAGGATACAAGACGGAAAATTTTTGAAAAATCTAAACAGAGTCGTTCATCTGAATTTCTTAAACAACGTATAAGTCTGGAAATTAAGAGAGGTAATGCGATATCTGTTCTAGCAACAATTCCATACCAAAAATTTTCAACGAAGTTTTTTATATTTTGCATTGTATTTATATTTTGTTAATCAGGCATTTGCAATTCAATTCATTTTCTTAAATATTCTCTTGTAGAGCTTTGTATCACTTGTGCTTCAACGGTTTGTAGTGCATTAGGGGTAGGTACAAAATTTCCAAAATGCATACAATTTCGTTCCAGTTTTCGAATGAATGTACGGAAAGCACGCGCCGCGATTCTGCCCATTTTACCATAATAAATTCCAAAAAAGGTGAAACCGCTACGAGTCATTTTTCGATTTTTGAAAAACTATGTTAACCTATAACAGTAGATGACGGATTAGTGTCACTAGATTTGTTTCAAATTCAATTGTTATACAATCATGGCCGACTACTAAAAAGAAAATCCGAAAAAAATAGTGTCAATTCAATAAAATGGGAATAAGTCAGAAACTGTTAAAGATAGCTATAGGAACATGTATTGTCAAAATATGCCCATTTCGATTCTCTATCTCATGGAATAGTAAGAACATGGTCATTCCATTTAAAAAAACTCAGTTTTTAGTCTTTGAAGTTTCATAAATTTGGATATCCATAGGAGCGGTCGTACGCAACTTAACTTTTTTTTAAGTGCACTAAAAGAAAGCCCTATTCATTCTCTATGCACTGATTAAAATTGGTTGCCATGACTACAACCGTTTTCAAGTAATCAATTATCAAGGTACCATCTGCATCCGCCATTTTTTTTCTTAAAGTCAAAATAACTTAAAAACCATAAATGGTAGATATCTGGGTATCAAAAGAAGTGAAATTTCACGTAGAATCCAAAAAAGCAATAAAAAATGGGGGTTGCCATTTAAAATAACGAAATTACTATCTACTTCCGGCATTTCCGGAAGTGCAGCCATTTTGAAAATATTTTAAATCGATTCGGCCTTCAGAGTATAAAGTACAAAAGAAACTTTTAACTAAAGCCCCCAAAAAAACACCCTGTATAAAATAGGAAATTTTGGTTCTTGCAAGTTTTTTTTTCTCTTTCTTCTATCTGCAAGAACAAGAATACTCAAAACAAGAGCAAAGAACGTATACAATATCCAATAATTTAATTATTACAAACTTTTCCCCTTAAACAATAAACAATAACAAAAAGAATTATCACATTAAAAAAATGTGTTCGTTTAAGTACAATTAGATCACTCTTCCTGGTTTGGTATCCTAAGGTAATTAACAGTCTCCCTCCTCCGCCTGGACCAGACGATGCTAATAATAAAACTACAAAGCAACACGAACAGCAGACCCATACAGCCCAGAAAAACGCCGGTTTGCAGCGTTCCAAACTGAACCATACCCAAGAACCTCGCCTCGCAGGCCGACTCCCACTCGCCGTCGGACAGCCGGATCCGGTCCAGGATCTCATTGAACGTGTCCAGGGGACAATCAAATTGGCAGTCTTTCAATATCATCCTCTGAGGGGTGGTGGAGTTCTTGTAGAGGATGTTGACCAGCCGGTTAACGCCACGGGCGCGCAGCTCGAAGAGAATCGTGGACGCGTAGGGTGGGGAGTGGCGGTCAAAAATGCCGAGGGTGTTCAGAATGTCGGCGATGGTCGTGTCGTGAGCGGAGAACATGTGCATTTTCGGTAGAGAGGCATTGTCGAACGCTTTGTATATCACGTCCATTAACGGACCGGTCCTAAGCAATGCCAGTTTGGGGTTGTAAGTGTAGAGGGCGAACGACATGTCCGCCCACCGCGCCATTTTGTGGGGGTAAACCGATTTGGTCCACTCCGGTAGTGTGTGGTTATGTAGCTCTTCGATGAAGAGCGTGTTGTACAGTTGCTCCAAGGTTTCCAGGTTGTAGATCTCGTTGCCCGTATTCTGAGTCAAATACTCGTATAACTCCCGATTTTCCCGTTGGATGTCGACAAATTCGCGTGTCGTAAACAAGGCCTGGTAAAGCTGCCTGTATCTCTCGCACGGTTTCTTCATTGAGAGCACAGGATCGAGCTGCTCGGGTACCGTGTGAACCGGAACCGGTTGCCATGCCAGGTTGGAGTTCCAAGTTTGATTTGCATCCGGTGGAAAAAGACCGGCCAAGTTGCACTGAGCCGACATTAGGGTGCGGTCGACATCTGTTGACCGTACGTAAATGTCCCTGGGGGAGAACTCCTCCGGTAGGAAGTTCTTGTACCGTTCTCTCAACCACCGCCCCAAATCGTACTGCTGCCGCTTTCCAATCTGTAACAAGCTTCTAGAACAAGTACCGAATGTAGCATACTACCTTGGTCAACTGGCCCCACCCCATTGGCCAGTTCGAGGGATCCTTGTACGGGTCCGTCTGGTATGGACGAATAGGAGCACGGTCGCCATGCCTGTAAATCTACAAAACAACGGTATCACAGACACGGAGAAGATAATGTACGAACCACAATCACAGATAAGAGGGTGTCTTCCACTTCACAACTGGAATGATTGATGAGACCCTCCGAGACGAGCAGCAACAAAATTACACTACGAGGAACTACAAACATCACAACCGTTCCAACTCGTCCGATCGTTTTTTAAAGAATGACGTGATAAAAGCAAACTGTGGAAACATACGTACGTGTTGGAAGTAAACAAAACATCAATTGATAACCTTCACATGTTGATAAGCACAATTATAATAACAATATGTGACGTGAAGTTAGCCAATGGACACATTGGACTAAAGTTAGGCAACGAGGTGCCACATGGATCATTCCTTGGACCGCTTTTTTGCAACTGGACGCACATTTATTTTCCCCACACCGTTCAAAATCTTTTGACGCTTCCCCAAAACCCCCGGTTTAACATTCTTCTTCACAACGTATAGTAGACTACACTGGTGTATGGATGGGGATCTTCCGTCAGGAAAGCAAGATTCGATGTTCTTTGTATAGAACTATTAAGCGAGTCCTTAGGGCACACGCCGGTATTTGTACGTAGTCGCTCTTGAAGTTGTAATGTTCCTAGGGGGGTTTATCAAGCCTACACTGGAAACGTTGACTTACTCTATACTTACGGTTGGCAACTCTGGCAAAAACTACAAGCAGAGCCACCTACCTTTCAAGTCGAAACGATGGTAGTCTCGCGGCACTTTTGAATTTGGATGACAGTCGGTTCGATATGGGTGGCACAAATGGACTCCTACGTTGTGTAATCGGTTCTTTTATGTGTTGGGACGTGAGACATAATTGGGAAGGGAATTAAATAAAAGACAGAACTTGTGTGCGTAAGAAATGACAAGATCAAATAAATATATTAACGCACACACAAGACCATGCCAGGGAAACCTTCTACGGGACTAAAACCCTGGCACAGGCCACAAAAATACATGAAATAAATCACCTACAGCAATAAAATGCAAGAGAAAATACACATAAATAAAACATCTCAAATGGTATGATAAAAATCAGATAATCAAATCAAATGCAATTAAACAAGTTCATAAAAACAAAATACACAAGGCATCATAAATGCAGTGGAAAACATGATAAATCAATTCAGTGCAAAAAAACATCAAAATACCTGTACGATCAATAGAAATAACACAACTCGTCAAATACACAAATTGCATGTACACAGGAAACATGTAAATGGTGTGGCTCTACTCCATCCTTCAGTTAACATAATTTTTAACACGAAAAGTACATGTGAGAATGCCATTGGTCAATAGCAAGTATTCATGTGAAAATCGATTATCGCTCAAACAGAACATATTTTAAATAGAGGAAATGTAAATGAGAGGGCCCCCACTCGTATTGCTAAGATGTTAAGAACTACAATCCGCACGAGACGAGTAGGCAACATATACAGCGAAAGATCTAAGTGCATTAGGTACCTACTCCACGGAGACAGAATTACCCACTCGCACACACAAACATCGAAACATCAAATAAAAGAGTCCCCCTTCGTATAGCTAACGCACAAGAACTGTAGCGCGCCACGAAACAGAAAGTAACAGATACAGCGAACAATCAAACTGTATTAGGTACCTACTTCCCTCACGGAATAGTTATGGGTCAATCGAACAGAGCAACATCACACCGATAATCAACTCCTCATGAATAACAGAAGTAAATACTTAATTAAACAAAATAATGGCATAATCATCTGTACAATATAAGATACAAACATGATTCATCTAACGGTACTCAAAACAAAGGCATGGAGTACGCCATCATTCAGATATCGTAGTTTATGCAAAATCAGCAAAATGTAAATATCAAATTGTGGCAAGAAATTCAATGATTAAATAGCTAGTACAGGAAAGAATAAAATGGTTACTACCTGTAAATACACCTTCAAAACACCATCACCCAAAATAATCAAGAATAATAAAAAAAACCGGGAAAGCGTGTGCCTTCCGTCGGCCTCGTCGCCATCTTCTTCCCATTCTCCTAGCTTCGTTATGAAAATCCCCTAGTATTCGGCATCTGCGCAAAACGGTCGTTGGTTATATACAGAGCATATTATATTTTTGTTTCAGATGTAAATGTGTGTTGCCTAACCATCAGAGTAGATTATCACAAAGTTAAACAAAAACCTTTCATTTTTACTTGAAATAAACCAAGAATAATAATAATTAGCTCTTCCACTTCTCTCGCCCGTTAGAAGTTCAGAAACGGGACCCATTTTCTAAACGCAACTAGCGTACCTTTTTAAACGAATGATAAACCTGTATTTTTGTCACGTGTTCGATTTTAAACACTAACGGAACGCAACTCTTAGGTTGGAAGAGATATGTTTCAACGGCGCGGCGCTCGCACTTTTCCTAATACGTTTCTTGTTATCACTCGTTACCTATCGCCAGATATACTTTCTTTATGTTCGCTATGAAGCGGTACTAGCGTATATTTTCCTATATTTATGAAAATACAAAATCAAAACCAAATTTTTGTAACCGACTAATAAGCGACCACTTGTTAGAGCATAAAGACCAGGTGCCAAATTCTTGGCAGAACAGTTTCCTAGCTCAAAACCAACTTTTGTTTGTGTTTAATACTTGTAATTATTAATACCAATAATTCGATCATTGTCTAAAGTCAAGCAACGGTGCTCCCGGTTAGTCTTTGAATGGGCAACGCGATTTTTTGCTCATACATTTTATTTGCTTTCATTAGAGGGACCTACCATGAAAATTTCGTTTAAATTGCTTCATTAATAAGAAAGTTGCGTTTTGCGCATGCGCAGTACGATTTTTTGCTCGTGCATTTTATTTACAGTACAACCTCGTTAATCCGAATAGATTCGGACCACCTACCTTTCGGATTATCGGGAAACTAGTGAAAATAATAAATTTGGACACAAGCATTAAGAAATAAACTTTATTCTTTTCAACGTCTTTAGGGGTGTCATTGTTGTTACAAGGAACGAAATTATTTCGGACTAGCGTGTATTTAGATTATCGAGGTTGTACTGTACTTTCATTAGAGGGACCTACCATCAAAATTTTGTTCAAATTGTTTCATAAATACGTACGTACATACAGACGGAAGAAAATTTTACTTTACTTTAAAATGGTCCAAAACATCGACATTTCATGAATTTTGACATGTCCAATAAAGGGCTATCGCAATAGAGGAAGCTAAAAATAAAACATCTGAGAGGTTGGTGTAGTTCTGAAGGCTCTTATGGACAAATACTTTGCACTGTGCCGTTCTTATAAGAAGATATGATATTATAAGTAAAAATTCAATTGGTCAAAGCGGGTTTCAAAGCTCTTAAATACCCTTAAACACGTGTTCTCATACGATCTTAAACATTTTTTTAAGGTGCTAAAAACAAAGGTTGATGTACCTCCAAATAAATCGTCAATAAAAAAATAAAAAAACATTTTTTTTTCACCTACAAATGTAAAATCTCATGGGAGATCTTAAAGGCACGACATTTAAATAGAAACGGGCCTTTTCCAGGCGGTGCAAATGGAACGAACATAACTTTTAGGTCCGTAGAGATCCTAACAACCGCGCTCAGTCCAAAACGTTTCTTATGATCGCCAGACTTACTTTCGTTCAAGTTTACTATGAAGCGGTACATGTGGAAATTTTCCTATGTTTAACAAAAAAATTTTATAAAGGCTATACTATTCTTTACGCCTCACTCCTTTCGTCGTCATCCTTGTTTCAAATCTCCCTCACTTCCTCTACACACTTTTTCATGTCTTTTTCGCAGTAATCATTTGACTAGATTACTTTCCATCAACTCACGCATGCCCCATACCTCCCTCCTTATGTAACCTCCACTTCTCTATTGTAAGCGTCTTTCAACCCCCTTCGGGATTTTTTTACACCTTGTACCTCCTCTGCAGTAACTGTTTTCCCCTTTATTCGTATTCTCCACGATCCTTTTTCGTCATTCCTAATTTAAACCACCCTCGTTCCCCCACATTTGTTCGCGTTTCCTTTGACGATTCGTATTCTTCGTACCACTAGCAGATCTTTCGTTGAGACCTTTAATTAGAATACAATAAGAGATAAAATTAATTTGTAACCCCCCCCTTCATGGCCTGCGTCGCTCACTGATCTCGACAGAGTCGCACGGGAATGTTATGGTTTTGGTAACAAACCAATTTATTTCGATGAGACGTTTCATTAGAATACCATGAAGGGTAGAACGCGTGCCCCCCCCCCCCCCCCCCCATTTCCTAAAGTTTAACTTGACGCCACTATGCAAAATCTGAGACCAATTGGTTGTCGTATGTAAAAGTTGTGCACGATTTACTTTCAAAAACAGCATCTCAGGAAATAATTCGTGGAGGGGGGGGGGGGCCCGTTTTAGACAGCGAAATTTGATGTATAGGCTACCTACTGCAAAAAATTCTAGGACTCGCAGACAATAGCACATTTTTTTTAATTCTTAAAAAATGCGCTAAAAATGTACTAATGTTTGCGTTTCGTCCCCTCCGTCGGGGAGCCACGTCGGCGGTTTTGACTACTTTAGGGGAATTGTTCTAGAAGCCTGGAAGTTTTTTTTTGGCAATACATTCTTAACCCTTTTCATGGTAATGAAACTGTGACAAACTTATGCAAAGGGAGTCTTGCTACTAGGAGAACATAATATACGAAGAGGTCTTTTTCTAGCTCTGTCAGAATTATTTCAAAGCTTTCATTCGAATTAAAAATTTGCCAATTCTGTATCAGGATCATATGAGTGCGAGGAGGTGTTTCTTTTCCTAATACTACACCTGTTACTTGTCGACAAACTTATGTAAAAGGTGTCGTGCTACTAGGAGAACATAATATACGAAGAGGTCTTTTTCTAGCTCTGTCAAAGTTATTTCAAAGCTTTCATTCGATTTAAAAATTTGCCAATTCTGTATCAGGATCATATGAGTGCGAGGAGGTGTTTCTTTTCCTAATACTACACCTGTTACTAGTCGACAAACTTATGTAAAAGGTGTCGCGCTACTAGGAGAACATAATATACGAAGAGGTTTTTTTCTAGCTCTGTCAGAATTATTTCAAAGCTTTCATTCGATTTAAAAATTTGCCATTCTGTATCAGGATCATATAACGTGCGAGGAAGTGTTTCTTTTCCTAATACTACACCTGTTATTTGTCGACACACGTAAAAGGTGTCGGGCTACTAGGAGAACATAATATACGAAGAGGTCTTTTTCTAGCTCTATCAAAGTTATTTCAAAGCTTTCATTCGATTTAAAAATTTGCCAATTCTGTATCAGGATCATATGAGTGCGAGGAGGTGTTTCTTTTCCTAATACTACACCTGTTACTAGTCGACAAACTTATGTAAAAGGTGTCGTGCTACTAGGAGAACATAATATACGAAGAGGTGTTTTTCTAGCTCTGTCAGAATTATTTCAAAGCTTTCATTCGATTTAAAAATTTGCCATTCTATCAGGATCATATAACGTGCGAGGAAGTGTTTCTTTTCCTAATACTACACCAGTTATTTGTCGACACACGTAAAAGGTGTCGGGCTACTAGGAGAACATAATATACGAAGAGGTCTTTTTCTAGCTCTGTCAAACTTATTTCAAAGCTTTCATTCGAATTAAAAATTTGCCAATTCTGTATCAGGATCATATGAGTGCGAGGAGGTGTTTCTTTTCCTAATACTACACCTGTTACTTGTCGACAAACTTATGTAAAAGGTGTCGTGCTACTAGGAGAACATAATATACGAAGAGGTTTTTTTCTAGCTCTGTCAGAATTATTTCAAAGCTTTCATTCGAATTAAAAATTTGCCAATTCTGTATCAGGATCATATGAGTGCGAGGAAGTGTTTCTTTTCCTAATACTACACCTGTTATTTGTCGACACACGTAAAAGGTGTCGGGCTACTAGGAGAACATAATATACGAAGAGGTCTTTTTCTAGCTCTATCAAAGTTATTTCAAAGCTTTCATTCGATTTAAAAATTTGCCAATTCTGTATCAGGATCATATGAGTGCGAGGAGGTGTTTCTTTTCCTAATACTACACCTGTTACTAGTCGACAAACTTATGTAAAAGGTGTCGTGCTACTAGGAGAACATAATATACGAAGAGGTGTTTTTCTAGCTCTGTCAGAATTATTTCAAAGCTTTCATTCGATTTAAAAATTTGCCATTCTATCAGGATCATATAACGTGCGAGGAAGTGTTTCTTTTCCTAATACTACACCAGTTATTTGTCGACACACGTAAAAGGTGTCGGGCTACTAGGAGAACATAATATACGAAGAGGTCTTTTTCTAGCTCTGTTAGAATTACTTATTTTAAAGCTTTCATTCGAATTAAAAATTTGCCAATTCTGTATCAGGATCATATGAGTGCGAGGAGGTGTTTCTTTTCCTAATACTACACCTGTTACTTGTCGACAACGTTATGTTATACGCCTTCGTATTTTTTAAATTTTTAGTTACCTGACACACGAACACAAGTCACCCCGGCAACGTTTAAAAATTTACAAATGGATATTCCCTCCAAAACGAAATAGACTTGAAACAACGCGATGACCTGAAGTACAGTAGAGGGAACGTAATGCAATATACACTCAAGGTGAAAAACAAATTTTGGGAACAATGGGATGTAACTCGGTGCAATAAAATCATTTTGTTAAGAGCAAGACGGAAAATTTCATGGCCTTGTAGGCAAATTCAACTGACGACAAAATAGCGAATCGCAACTCATTTATCGCACATATTAGATTAGATTAGCATAGTCTCGCTCCCGAGATACGTAACTCGCCCCTCGTTCGGCGTTTTGAGCTTACATTTGAATGTCGAACGCAATCAAGGGATTAGGTGTCGTAAAACTGTAGAGAGCTTTCCCCTCCTAAAAATTGCGTGGTTGCCAACTCTCAAGAATGTGTTCATCTACATTTTTCCTATCGTCGCTCATTTACTACTTTTTTAGGAGGATCCGCTGGCGTAGGGCCAAGGGCAGTGACTCGTAGTGTGTTTGTACTGACTTCTTTCCGTAATTAGACGCAGCCACAATCTCATCCGACGTAGCGGTTGAGGTGTCCAAAGGGAAATTTGTCATATTTGTACACTCAACCATTTAGCAGAGGAGGTAGCAAACAAGAAGTGACCTGATTTGTTAACAACTTTATCAGAGATAATTCTCCATTTCGGGTATTTTTACATAATTACTTCGACTTCTGATATTGCACACGACTAAAATGCCGTACATAAAAAGCGATAACAGCAGGATTGTGATGAAAAAACCAAAAAGAGCACTTTGAGCGGTGCTGCGGCTACTGCGTAGCGGCATGGTGCACTCCAAGACCCAGTCTTCGTAATCCAAGCGAATTTCGTCCAGGATCTTGTTGAACGTCTCCAGAGGACAGTCGAACTCGCAGTCCTTCAGAGTGATATTCGTCGGCGTGGTGGAGTTCTTGTAGACCACGTTGACGTACAGCTCGTCACTTTTAGAACGTAATTCGAATAGGAGTGCGGCGCCGTAGGGTGGAGAGTGGGGGTCGAAGATTTGCAAAGTGTTCAGGAGATTGGCGAGGGTCGTGTCATGACCCGAATACATGCGCATTGCCGGTTTCGAATTAAAAGAGGCGTCGTTGATGTTGTGGTAGATTTCGTTGAAGAGGAGGCCCGTCTTCAACCGTGCCATTTGAGTAGTGTTAGTGGAGAGGGTGAACTCGTACGATGCCAACTTCCTCAGTTGATCCGGGTAGACTTTTTTCGTCCAGTTAGGGAGGGTTAGATTGTGCAGGTCTTCCACGTGGAGTGTATCGTATATGTCCTGCAACCCTCGGAGGTTGTGAACTGGACGACCAGCATTTTGGGTAATGTAGTCGTACAACTCCTCGGTGCCTTCGTCTAGATCATTGCTCACAAGGGACTGATAAAGCTCTCTGTGTCGCTCGCAGGGAACTTCCATCGCAAGCACAGCGTCATTAACCAAGGGGGTGGTGTGGACTGGAATCGGTTGCCAGTTCAGTTCGCTATTCCACGTTTGGTTGGGATCTGGTGGAAATAGCCCAGCGAGGCAGCATTCGGCTGACATTAAAGTGCGATCGTAATCCGTCGAGCGAACGTATGATTCGCGGACTGTGAGTAAACCACCGTATCGCTCCTTCAACCATTTCCCTAACTCGTACACTTGCACTTTGCCAAGCTGAAAATCACGCATCGTGATTGGTCGATTACGCATCCACTACCTACTTACATTAGTCAACTGCCCAAGACCCATAGGCCAAAAGGTTTTGTTGTATGGATCCGTCGGGTACAGGGACACAGGCGCCCGATCTCCATGCCTAAAGAACTTCAAAAAAATAGCGCCCCTTCTCGCTTTTAATACTCACAATAATCACCGCGCGCAGATGTTCCTCACCCGTACTACTCGCTCTCGGGAGTTCCACCAAAAAAATGACCGTCGCAATTGCCAAATAAAATTTGAGTCTCATTTTTAGCATTTCGGTCCAGCAAACTACGTGCCAACGTTATTCAAAGCGACGCAGCGTTATCGTTTTCCTCTAATCGACCGCAATGATAAACGCTGGCAATTAACACCGCATTATGCAAGGTGAAACGGGGCTTAATTGGGGCGCGTTATATAATAAATCCCTTGCTTGGTGTTTCTATAGTTTAAAAGTTAAATCAATAACAGAAATGATCCAAGTTGAACAAAGCCCCCCCCCCCCCCTTTAAAAAATCTGAAAAGTTCTACAAGATTTCGTAAAACTGCAAGGTCATATAGTACATAAATTCAAAACCGAAACGTTTTTATAAGCAAAGTCCTACCCCTCGGACAGGTAACTTGTCCCTCGTGCTAGATATTCAAGCCTACAGGAGATTCTAGAGCAATCACAGCCTTAAATGACGTACCTACTTTGGTTACAGTATTTGGACATTGGTGAAAGGGATTTTCCAGTGACGTAACTAATAAGCGACCTTGTTTATGTTGGTTCTTTGGTAAACATGTTTGAATTCATGTCTATGGCATAACAGAAATAACCTACCCTTAAAAAATTGCATCTTCTAAACGCATTGGGACGTAAGTAATGAGTGACCATGTTTGTGGTGCAAAGTGCAAAGAAGTTATTCACGTCTGTTGTAATTTAATCACGTTGCGAGATGTTGGCGAGTGGTTGATGGTATTTTGAGGAACTTATTTTAATCATCTCTGAGAATTTTTTTTGAGTGGGGGCTTATGGAATACTCCTCAAAAAGCGAAACAGTTCATTTCCGAAAAAAATGAGGGGTTAAAGCCACCCAGCAAAGAATAGGGACTCGATAACCCTCGCGGTAACCCTTTCTCTATACCTCTGAGAACACTTACGGTATTGGGGAGTATTCCTATTCCATACCCACCGGTAATACTTTCTTCTACAAACCGTTCAGACCTTAAAACTCGCATGACAGTTGTTGGGAGGGACTATATGCGATCCTTTTCTCCGTATCGCAGAAAAAGTATACCGGCGGATCTAGGGGACTCGACATCGACATTCGGCAACTTTACTGTCGTGTGTACTGGGGGGGTACGTAGCAACGGGGGTTCTGGGGGGGCCTCTAGCAAAACTAAAGAGTCGTTTAGTGCATTATATATGGTTATCCAGAAAAAAAACCAAGAAGACAACGAATACTTTGGTATTTTTGAGGAGGCAGCTGTCCCTGACAATCATTTAATCGTTTAATCTCTAAAAAATGGAATACCCCCAGCAATAGGTACCCCCCCCCCCACCAACCCCAAAGAGACCATTTCCGAAACAACACACGACCCTTTCCCTACAACTCTCTGTACTCTTAGGTATTGTTCTGGGAATGACACTGAAACTGTCGTAGTGCGCGGGGGGGGGGGGGTGTATTCCACACCCTCCAGACCCCCCGCTGATAACTTCTTCCACAAACCGTTTAGGCTTTAAGACTAGCATGACAGTTGTTGGGCAAGGTCTACAAGATTCTTCGGGAGGGGGGGGGGATTCCGATACTTCCAAGCGAAACGAAAGAAGAGACCATTTCCGAACAAAAATTGGTGAAAAGTGGCGATAAACTCGCAGTGTTCTGAAAATGACACTGAAACTGTCATGTGTACGGAGGGGGGGGGGGGGTTCATACCCCCCCAGGCGCCCAGTTAATACTTTTTCCCACAAACCGTGTAGACTTTAAGGCTTGTATGAAAATTGTTGGTCAAGGCTTACTATGACTTATGAGATCCTATTCTTCGTACCGCAGAGAACGTAGTACCTACCGGTGATCTGAGGGATATGAATAATCTCCAGCCGAGCAAAAGAGACCCTTTTCGAAAAAATATATGAACAGCGACAGGGGTTCCAAACAACCAAGCAAAAAAGGACCCGATAACCCTCTTCTACAACTTTCAGTACTTTTTATGGTAGGGTTCTGGAAATGACATTTAAACTGTCGTGTGTTCAGAGGGGGGGGGGGGGGTATTAGCTATATTATTTGCCCCAGTCCCCCGGTAATATTTTCTTCCACAAACCATTTAGGCTTTAAAACCCGCATGATCGTTGTTGGGCAAGGATTATGAGATCATTTTTTCCGTACCTCAGAGAACGTAGGAGTGGGGGGTATTGAATACTAGAGACAATTTCTGAACAAGTATGTAAGGCGGCGGTGGATGGTTCAAAAGTGCCCAGCAAAGAAAGGATGCCATAACCCTCTCTCTCTATAACTCTCGGTACCCTCGTGGTGGGGTTCTGGAAAGGACAAAGGAACTACCACAATACAATACTGTCGTGTGTACTGGGGGTACTCCACACCCTCCAAACCTCCCGGTAGTATTTCCTTCCACAAATCGTTAAGGCTTTGATCCACATGACAGTCGTTGGGCAAGGATTATGAGATTCTTTTTTTTTCTTATCGCAGAGAACGTAGCATCGAGGGGTCTGAGAGGTATGGAATTGCCCCCCCCCCCTGACACCCTGACAATCATTTTGTTTGGTCGCTAGTTTAATCTGTAAAAAATGGAATACCCTAGCAATACCCCCCACCACAGTCAAAGAGACCGAAACAATATGTGACCCTTTCCCTATAACTCTGTGTGTACACTTATGGTATTGTTCTGGAGATGACACTGAAACCAGTCTTCTGGGGGTTATTCCATATCCTCCCGACCCCCCCCCCCCCCCCCCCGTAATACTGTCTTTCACAAACCGTGTAGGCTTTAATACTAGCGTGAAAATTGTTGGGCAAGGAATATGAGATCCTTTTCTCCGTACCGCAGAGAACGTAGCCCCAAGGATCTGGGCTGTACGAATACCCCCCCCCCCCCCTCAGCAAAGCGAAAGAGACCCTTTCCGAAAAAAATATGTGAGGTTCCAAATCACCCAGCAAAGAAGGACTCGATAACCCTTTCTCTATATAATTCTCAGTATTTGTATGGAAGTGTTCTGAAAATGACATTTAAACTGTCGTATGTACTGGGGGTATCCCCCCTCTCAAACCCCCGCTTATTTTTCCGAAAACCATTTGGGCTTTTTAAGACTCGCAGGACAATTGTTGGGCTAGGATTATGAGATCATTTTCTCCTTATCGCAGATAACGTAGCACCGGGGGCTCTGGGAGGTATGGAATACCACCACCGCCCACCCCAACGAAACAAAAGAGATCATTTCCGAAAAAAATATTTAAAAAGCGACGGGGGTTCACCTATCACCGGGACTGAGGGGTGTGGATGCTCCTCAGAAATACCTTCTTCAATGTATTATACGGTGGTCCAGAAAAATAGGAAACAAGAAACTCATACCTACTTTTTGGTCTTTTGAGGAGGGAGCTCCCAAACATTCATCATTCATTTCATTTGGACGCTCGTTTAATGTTGAAAAATGTTTCTTTGGTTCCAATTTACGGCCTACCAATCAATCTTATCCATATCTTTCCAATTTTCACCATTGCCATACTCATATGTCTATGATTTCCACCCTGTATTTAATACGCTGGTTGTATTCCGGTTCGTCATCATATGAGTCATTGTCACGTGTTTGGAATGCAGGCATTTTTCGACTGAGGCAAAACAATAAACAAATGCATGTTGCAAAACAAAAATTTAAAAAACGTCATTTTTTTCAAAAAAACCAAAATTGTACAGGGAGCTACTGACAATCTCCTATGAATTAGTGGAGAGGTACACGTATGTCGTAGATAAGAACACCTCAACATTGCCCTGTTTCAAAATGGTGCGGTAGGGTGTTGCCTTCCTTAAACGAAATATAAATTAATTTTTCAAAATTTTTCACCATTTTAGCTCATAAGTAATTAGAAATGTCGTTTTAATTTATTTAAATTAATTTCGTTTCGTATTTCTACGTAAAAAGTGCATTTTCTCAACGTAAAAAATGACCGGTGTGCTTCAAAGTATCATGGACGGATTCTGGAGCGAGGATATCTGGCTGCCGCCTAACACGACGTGGAAAGAGATCGCCCCCGGCTCGAGCGAGGAAATCCACTATTCCAATTCGAAGCATTTATATATTCCAATTCCTCTCGCATTCCTCATGCTCGTTCTGAGATACTGTCTGGAGCAGTGAGTTTTGAGGTTAGGTTCGGTCTGTCGCATTACCCGAGTCTTTCTTCCAGCTATTGGTTTGCTCCGGTCGGCATCTCGCTCGGCATCAAGAGTTATAGGTCGAAGAAGGCACCCCCGAACACCGTCTTGGAGAAATCGTACTCGCTACACAAGAAACTAAATCACAAACAAGTGAGTCGGAACGCGACGGGGTGGTTTATATCCGATCGTGTGTGTCTTTCAGATTCAGGGATTAGCGAAACAGTTAGACTGGACCGAGCGAAAGGTCGAGCGATGGCTGCGTTTGCGTCGGAGCCAAGATAAACCGTCCACTTTAGTGAAATTTTGCGAGAACGCTTGGCGTTGCCTCTACTACCTCTGTAGCTTTATTTTCGGTCTAGTCGTGCTATGGGATAAGCCGTGGCTGTGGAATATTAACGAGTGCTGGTGAGTGTCGCCCGTTAACTTCGCAATAAGTGATTTTTGGCCCAAAGGTTCACATATCCGCATCAGAGCGTCGAGGCGGGCATGTGGTGGCACTACATCATATCGTTGACCTTCTACTGGTCGCTTTGCTTTAGCCAATTCTTCGACGTGAAACGCAAGGACTTCTGGCAAATGTTCATACATCACATCGCGACCATCGTCCTGATGTCGTTCTCCTGGGTGACGAACCTGCACCGAATCGGCAGTCTGGTCCTGATCGTGCACGATTGCGCCGACATCTTCCTGGAGGCGGCGAAAATGGCCAAGTACTCCGGCTACCAGAAGATATGCGACGCGATATTCGCGATTTTCACAGTGTTGTGGATCGCGACGCGACTCGGCGTCTACCCGTTTTGGATTATTCGAAGCACGTCGATCGAGGCGCCCAAAATCGTCCCCATGTTTCCGGCGTACTACATTTTCAATGGACTCCTAATCTTACTGCTCGTACTTCACATATTTTGGACTTACTTGATATTGAAAATCGCCTACAACTCGTTGAACGCCGGTCAGATGGAGGGCGACATCCGATCCAGCAGTTCCAACTACAGTACCGACTCCAAATCTCAATAACAATAATTGCGTTTTTCGCTTTAGCCTGTTTGTTGTTATAATTTGTTAAGCTTTCCTTTTTTTGTTAAAAAAAAGACTTAGTGTAATTGCTTGTTGCGGAACGGAAGGACACTTGTATGTGCATACGGAACCAAAGTACGATTTTTACAATTTCTAGTACAATTCTCTTAAGGCTTCAACTATTTAAACGTCTCTCGCTTGTTAAATCTTCGACAAGTCGACAACTTTCACATTTTTAGATATATTTCGAAAATACATTGTAAGATTGCGATACCATCACTTAATGCATTTAACTCATATCGTAATGGTCTTTGTTCAACTAGTAAAAAATGGTAATAAAACGAAATGGTGTAATTATTCGCTATCTTAAAAATTTCGCATGGTAACTGCCTATCTAAATTGTTGGATGATTCCAAATCACAAGTGCTTGCACTTGAATTACATACAAAAATCTTTATTGGGAAATTTAAAAAGGTCTTTGGAATCTGTTTGAGACTCCTACATTTAATTACAGTGAGAGGTTTCGCCTTGTATAAGTTTTTTTGAAGGGGTCTTGGCTTTGGATTTCGCATGATTTAACTTCAATGCGGAGTCACGTGTATGAAAAAATTCGTTTTATAACTTTCGTTTGAAATCGTTTTCATTTTTGGTGTAACTGTTTGCTCAATTTATGGTTATGTTTTGATTACATGGTCTTGAGCAAAAGTTTCATTTATAAAGGAAGGAAGTGGTCCACAACTCTGCGCTTGTCTTGGTCTTAAGTAAACTCCTTGGGATGGATTAAGTTGGGTAGATGGTAGTTGGTGATTTTTGAGTCTTCTGCAGTTGTAGAAAGATGAGGAGTGTACTTGTACCTACTGGGCCGCATAGTTAACAATTCTTTAGGGACGAAAGCTGCATGATGTGGGGACGACGACATCCGGGAGCCATTTTTTAGTTTTGTCCTATCTTCTGCAGGAAAAAAATCACCACGCTCGGGGATGGCGCTCGTATGTCGCCGATCCCACATCATGTAGCCCCGTCCCTAAAGAATTGTTAATTATGCGGCGTGGTTATAGGTACAAGTACACTCCTCATCTTTCTAAAAGCGATCTTCTACGAGGTCTCATTTGCTGCCAGCCAACGGGCCAAAGTGAAATTAAAAGCTACTTTTTTACAAACATATTTGCAAAAAATGCTTTAAAAACAGATCATTACAAAAAAAAAGTTAAATCACTGTTTGCTGCTACACAATGGCCTAGACGGTCCTAAAACTGTCATCTAACTTTTGCGATAATAAAATCATTCTCTGCTTGATTTACATTTTTCAGTTGTTCCACATTTTGACACCTACGTGTAAAATAAATTGTATACAGGGCCATTCTTGACGAGCGAGATATGGAAAACCTTTGAAAATGAAGACAAACTGATAAGTTCTTTAAGGGTTATGGCACATGATGAATTGAACTAAAATATTTTCAAGATGGCGCCACTTCTGGAAATATCGGAAGTAGCCATCAACTTTGTTATTTTAAATAGGGACCCCCTATTTTTTCTACATTTTCGGATTCTACGTCGAATTTGGAGTACAACGATACCCCATAGTTGACCCTTTGCTCCAAGGGGTTCCCCGATATTCAAGTTTTTATGTCAAAAATTGAATTTGCAGGGGTAATTTTTAAAATTTATTATTCGAAAACGGTGAGAGATATTGCAACACAGTTTTCAGTGATTTATTAAAGAAAGATCGAATTTTCGTATGGTGTGCGTAACAGTCTAAAAAAGTGAGACTACGCCACTATTTCAAAGCTCTCAACTTTTAAATATCCGTAACTCCATTTTTTCAAATGGCACCCCCCATTTTGTTCTTCACCCTTATTTTCCTTTTTCCCAGACTTTTAATTTGATACAAAATGTCAAAAGCTGCTTCAAACGGTTTCTGAGATATTCCATGTTTTCGTTACTTCTTGTGGCAAATTGATAAAAAAATTAAGTCGCTTGATGTTATTCTTTTGTTTTTATTATGATATTGTTTAAACGTCAAACGTTTTCGAATAATAAATTTTTAAAATTACCCCTGCAAATACAATTTTTGACATAAAAACTTGAATATCGGCGAAGCCCTTGGAGCAAAGCGTCAACTATGGGGTATCGTTGTACTCCAAATTCGACGTAGAATCCGAAAATGTAGAAAAAATAGGGGGTCCCTATTTAAAATAACAAAGTTGATGGCTACTTCCGATATTTCCAGAAGTGGCGCCATCTTGAAAATATTTTAGTTCAATTCATCATGTGCCATAACCCTTAAAGAACTTATCAGTTTGTCTTCATTTTCAAAGGTTTTCCATATCTTTCTAACTGACGCTCGTCAAGAATGACCCTGTATATCTCCGAAGGAAATAGTACAGGGTGTTCCATTAATAATGGTCACAGGTCATATCTATGGAACCGTTAATTGCACAGCTTCGGGAAAAAAATTTTGTTAACAAAAGGGGCCAAGAGAAATCGCTGGAAATTATTTTCAAGTTTGTGACTTCGCCGCTAGAGGGCGTACGATTCATGGTTAAATAGACAAATGACTTTTTTCCTAAAATATACCCAACAAACATGCATAAAAAATACATGCATAGTAATTTTGTATCAATTTTGCATCATTTTGATGGAGCGCAAATTGCTCTAGCTCATAAAATATGAGGAGTGGGGGAAGAGGAACATCTCTTTAAGGAATTGATTGTAACTTCGGATTAGGTTAACAGATTTTCACATAATAGGTCTTGTTGGAAAGAGCTCTTTTCGTGGAATCAGATTTTACATGAAGATAGTCTATTTAGTAAACGTGATGAGTGGTAGAGGGCGCGATGTGACATTAACATAAACTTTGCAAGTTTTTTAAAAATTTCAAATGGAACGATATAATTATTATATTATATTATCAAATAAGATGAAAAAGTGAGAATATCAGTGAAAACCGCATTTTGATATCTGTTTTCTAAGCAGAGGTATTGATCAAATACGAACATTCACAAATTTTAATTGCAATATTTATATTCATCCAAGTTGGATTTGAAACAAATGAACACATAGCAACCGATAATTATGTCAAAGTGAATGAGGCGATTGCAGTTCAAAATTAACACTCAATCTAAGTTTTTTAATTATGAGCAACAAAAAAATGATTCAAACTTTAAATCAGAGACATATGAGTTAAGTAAATAATAATTATAATTAACGTAAATGTTCAATGTCTGCCATTATTTTCGACACAAAGACGAGTCTCTGCTGTGTAGAGCGAACAGTTGCTTTAACTTCAGCCATGACTATGAATTACATTTCTAATTCTCGTCACCATATCATTTCTTGTAGTTGGCCTTGTTAGAAAGACTGTGCGTATTTTATCCTTTCAAACAAATTTAAGTCTAAGCAAGTTAAGTCGAGTGACCTAGCTGGTCATGAAAAAATACTTCCTCTTTCTATCCATTTGCCAGGATAACTCAAATTCAAACACTCTCGCCTCGACTCTCGCCTACCAAGAAATGTGCCGGGCACCCATCATGGTGATAATTCGCACGAATACGTTTAATGAAAGGACTGATAAACTTTCTTTTGTTCTGTTTTCTTTTGTTTCAAAGCCAACTTGAATGAGCATCAATAATTGCAATTAAAATTTGTGAATGTATTCGTATTTTTCGCCAGATCTATGGTTAGAAAACAGATATCAAATGCGGTTTTCACTGATATTCTCACTATTTCACCTTATTTGATAATATCATATAATTCCATTTGAAATTACCAAAAAAACCTGCAAAGTTTATGTTAATGTCACATCGCGCCCTCTACCACTCATCACATTTACCAAAAAGACTCTATTTAATAAAATCTGATTCAGCGAAGAGAGCTCCTTCCAACAAGACCTATTTTGTGGAAATCTGTTAACCTAATCCGAAGTTACAATCAATTCCTTAAAGAGATGTTCCCCTTCCCCCACTCCTCATATTTTATGAGCTAGAGCAATTTGTGCTCCATCAAAATGATGCAAAATTGATACAAGATTACTATGCATGTATTTTTTATGCATGTTTGTTGGGTATATTTTAGGAAAAAAGTCATTTTTCTACCTAACCATGAATCATACGCCCTCTAGCGGCGAAGTTAGAAACTTGAAAATAATTTCCAGCGATTTCTCTTGGCCCCTTTTGTTAACAAATTTTTTTTCCCGAAGCTGTGCAATTAACGGTTCCATAGATATAGCCTGGGACACAAAAAAATGTTTCTTGAAAATTATTGATAAATAATCTGCCGTTTTCAAAATAAATAATTATACAGGTATCGGGTAAAAAAGTTATTACAATTTCATTTTATTTAAATGGCATACCCTGTATATTTCAATCTACAAAGAGCATATTAAATTCTTTTTTTTCAATATAACACTGAAAAAATTCAATATCGATTCAAAAAGGTTCAAAAAAAGATTTTTTAAAAATTCAAAAATTCGTTTGTGGTAATTTCTAATTTTTTCAGTGTCAAAAAAAGGGCGATAGTTCGTAGAAAACAGTACCTTTTTGTTGAGACCTTTAATTAGAATACCATGAATGGGTAAAACGTGTGGTCGCCCCCCCCCCCTCCTTGTTCTAAAATCCCTTTGAAGAGTGAGCTTAGACGGATTTCGGAAACTCATTAATTTATTCGTCGACCATTCTTTATGCTCCATGTGAAAAACTTTGGAAAAGTTCCAGAACATTCTTAGAAAATCCTGTAAAACCTTGAAAAAATATGGCAAACGAATTTTTTAACCCTCCAACGACACTTTCAACCCCAATCGGAGGGTTCAGGAGAGCTCAGCGCCAGCTCGGGTTTTATTTCTATGATCCTCGAGCGCAAAGTCAGACCAGACCGAACGCTGCCATATGCCACTCCTTAATAACCATACGCGATTACGCGTAGATTACAGAGGAACGTTTGGTGGAAACTTATTGTACTTACAAGGCTTTCCAAACGGTTATTCGATCCTTTCCACGCCGTTCCAGTAATAGCCGAGCGTAAAAAATAATTAGAACTGTTATAAGCGCACTCTAGATGCACATACTTAAACTATCATAGTCTAATACGACAGATCACACTGTACTATGCGATCACAGTACTTTCACAAACTGCTAGATGGCGACACGCGATTCACGTACACTTAGTGTCACATAGCGTACAGTAAAGTATCATTTTGCTTACGTTTACCAATCGTGCCTTAAACTAATGAGTAAGGAAAATATGCGAGCCTTGGTAACGCTTGGCTCATTTGCCTAGCACAGCCTAGAGCTTAGAATTTTTGCGAGGGCACAGGTCGTCCCGTGGATACTTTGCCTACTTTTGCAAATCGTCCTGGTGAAGCGATCTGCCCCATAAATTAATCTTAAAACGCTACCTACATCGCTCATAAACGAAAAAAATTGACATAATTAAAAACTTTTAAATTAAAAAATAATAATTAAATATTTTCGTTTTTAATTAAAAAACCAATTAGACATACGGGTTAACCTACTTATCACTCCAAAACGAACAAATTGACTAGTAATTAAAAACTTTTTAAATTAAAAAATAATTAAATATTTTCGTTTTTAATTAAAAATACGGGTTAATTAAAAAGTTAAAAAAAAAACCTAAAAAATTAAGTAAAAATATATTTGGCGAAAAATTTCCTTATTTAGTAACAGTAGAATTAACATTAGTAAATCTCCATATTTGATGCGGGCCGTTTCGGCACGCGCGAACTTTGAGCCCTTTGGAATCGTCGACGCCCTCGCTGCTTAAACACTTACGAAAGTACGGATTGTAAATCGTTCCGTTCTTGTAGATCTTCCAATACTGTTCGCGCCTATGGCTGTGACATTCGGTGAGTTGCACTTGAAAGTTGTCGAAAGCCTCGGCGCAGAAGTGCTCCTTGCGGAGTTCGCCTTTGGCGCTGATTGAGAAAAATTGCGACATCGCCAAGTAAGGATGGCATTGGTATAGGCCTAGCGGACCGACCTTGTCCTCGCCGAGCTGCAGATCGTCTAGGCACATGTCGAATTTGTTCCTGACCTGGCCGTACGCGTACACGTTTTCATCCGGGATGAACTTCTCCGGGTAGACATGTTCCAGATACCACTTGAAATCCTTGCACCTCAACTTATTCCGCAATTGTCGTCGGTGTGTCAGATCGCCAATAATGGGACTGTTCTCCAAAGCGGGCTGATGCATGAAAAACAACCTCTTATACCCGTCCATCCAGACGTGCGCCAGTCGGGCGGTGTTAATCCCGTGAGTGTCCTTATTGTCGGGGAAGGAATAGGGGTGGAAGTCGCGAAAGATGTGGCCCACTCGCGAGCAGGGCACCGTCTCCAGTCGTCCGCCGCATTGCCAAATTCGAAACGACATCTCCAGGTTCTCACCGCCCCAGCCGTCCATCTGCTCGTCGTACGAGCCGATCTCCCAAAAATACCGGCGGTCGATCGCGAACAATCCGCCGGCCATCGTCGGCGATTTTACCGGTGTCAGTTTTCCCTTGTCGGCGTTGTCTTGAATGTCGATCCACGTGAAGTGACCCGACCAAGTGAACCCGCCCACCTGATAGGAGGTGTCACCTGCAATGTTGCTGTATTTAAAGTCAGGCAACGAAAATAAAGGACGAGAGACATTTGCAAATAAGTGACACAAAATTCTACCTTATGGAAAAAACGTTAAGGACCCATCTACTTTCACAGTAACAGGCTATTTTTTAAAAATCTAATATGCGCCAAATAAGTGCATATTATGCGCCGTGGAGATGAAATTGTGTACCCACAAGATTCTAACTTATAGAAACAACGTTAATGGCCCATCTATTTTCAGAGAAGAGGGTTTTTTCGGTTTAAAAATCTAATATGCGCCAAATAAGTGCATATTATGCGCCGTGGAGATGAAATTGTGTACCCACAAGATTCTAACTTATAGAAACAACGTTAATGGCCCATCAATTTTTAGAAAAGAGGGCTTTTTCGGTTTAAAAATCTAATATGCGCCAAATAAGTGCATATTATGTGCCGTGGAGATGAAATTGTGTACCCACAAGATTCTAACTTATAGAAACAACGTTAATGGTCCATCTATTTTCAGAGAAGAGGGTTTTTTCGGTTTAAAAATCTAATATGCGCCAAATAAGTGCATATTATGCGCCGTGGAGACAAAATTGTGTACCCACAAGATTCTAACTTATAGAAACAACGTTAATGGCCCATCATTTTTAGAAAGAGGGCTTTCGGTTTAAAAATCTAATATGCGCCAAATAAGTGCATATTATGCGCCGTGGAGATGAAATTGTGTACCCACAAGATTCTAACTTATAGAAACAACGTTAATGGTCCATCTATTTTCAGAGAAGAGGGTTTTTTCGGTTTAAAAATCTAATATGCGCCAAATAAGTGCATATTATGCGCCGTGGAGACAAAATTGTGTACCCACAAGATTCTAACTTATAGAAACAACGTTAATGGCCCATCAATTTTTAGAAAAGAGGGCTTTTTCGGTTTAAAAATCTAATATGCGCCAAATAAGTGCATATTATGTGCCGTGGAGATGAAATTGTGTACCCACAAGATTCTAACTTATAGAAACAACGTTAATGGTCCATCTATTTTCAGAGAAGAGGGTTTTTTCGGTTTAAAAATCTAATATGCGCCAAATAAGTGCATATTATGCGCCGTGGAGACAAAATTGTGTACCCACAAGATTCTAACTTATAGAAACAACGTTAATGGCCCATCAATTTTTAGAAAAGAGGGCTTTTTCGGTTTAAAAATCTAATATGCGCCAAATAAGTGCATATTATGTGCCGTGGAGATGAAATTGTGTACCCACAAGATTCTAACTTATAGAAAGAAAGCTAATGGTCCATGTACTTTCAAAGTAGCAGGCTTTTTTCCGCTTAAAAATCTAATATGCGCCAAATAAACGCATATTATGAGCCGAGGATCCCAAATTGTGCACCCAAAAGAATGTCACGTTAATGGATCTTCGAGTAGCAAGCTTCTGTCTGCATAAAAACCCAAGATGCGTCAATCACGTGCGTACTATGCGCCGCAGAGATGAAAATTAGCAACTGCAACAAATAAAAAGGCTGAAAGTATGAAATTACCATTGGTAGAGTAAGCCAAGTTGTTGGCCTCGATCACGTCGATTATCGGCACCAGAACCGCAGTGCGCTCCTCCTGAATTCTGGCGAGCAGCGGCTCCATCCATCCCGTGGTGGCCTCGCAGTGCGCGTCCAGAAAGATAAGTACGTCACCGGTAGCTATTCGCGCACCCTGCAATCGTGCCCTAATCAACCCCATCCGATGGTTCAACTCCAACAGGTTCACATTGTACTTCTTCAATCGGGTATCCAGATAATAACGCAACAACCCCTTCAAGTCACCTATAATAACCACAATGTAATTGGTGCGATCACAGTACACTAGATAGACAACGTGAATGTAAGCGTTCGCGTCATTTTGTGATTTGCCCATACTTCCTCTAGTGGAAACAGCAATTAGGTGAGCAAGTAAATAGTAAGAGTGAAACAGACTGCTATCAAAGTTTCTAAATTCTTAAAAACAAAAGCATTCAAACGTCACACTTAAAGCTGCTAAAACAATTGGCAACTTTCTTTAAATTTCATCTAAAAAGTTGAAATTTTAAAATTCTTATTATTAAACTTGCAATTTCTAAGAAACGGGTCACTGAATTCCAACTTGAAACTGTTAATTTTAACATGTGGACATGAAAGTTCGAAATACATTCGCAACTTTAAATTTCAATTCAAAAGTTGAAATGTCAAAATTCCTGTTATTAAACTCTTGGTTTCTAAGGGTCTGGTAACTCCAAATTCCAACTTGAAACCGTTAATTTTAACATTTGGACATAAAATTTCAAACTGAAAGTTGAAAATCCATTCGCAAATTTAAATTTAAATTCAAAAGATAAAATTTCAAAATTCTTGTTATTAAACTAGCAGTTTCTAAGGGCCTAGTAACTCTAAATTTCAACTTGAAACCGTTAATTTTAGCATTTGGACATAAAATTTCAAACTAAAAGTTGAAAATCCATGCGCAATTTTAAATTTTAAGTCAAAAGTAGAAATTTCAAAATTCTTGTTATTAAACTAGCAGTTTCTAAGGGCCTGGTAACTCTAAATTCCAACTTGAAACCGTTAATTTTAACATTTGGACATAAAATTTCAAACTAAAAGTTGAAAATCCATGCGCAATTTTAAATTTTAAGTCAAAAGTAGAAATTTCAAAATTCTTGTTATTAAACTAGCAGTTTCTAAGGGCCTGGTAACTCTAAATTCCAACTTGAAACCGTTAATTTTAACATTTGGACATAAAATTTCAAACTAAAAGTTGAAAATCCATGCGCAATTTTAAATTTTAAGTCAAAAGTAGAAATTTCAAAATTCTTGTTATTAAACTAGCAGTTTCTAAGGGCCTGGTAACTCTAAATTTCAACTTGAAACCGTTAATTTTAACATTTGGACATAAAATTTCAAACTAAAAGTTGAAATCCATTCGCAACTTTAAATTTTAATTCAAAAGTTAAAATTAAAATTCTTGTTATTAAACTAGCAGTTTCGAAGGGTCTGGTAACTCTAAACTCCAACTTGAAAACGTTAGTTTTCATTTGGACGTAAAATTTCAAAGTAAAAGTTGGAAATTCATTCGCAACTTTCAATTTCAATTCAAAATGTAAAATTTCAAAATTCTTGTTATTAATCTTGCAGTTTCTAAGAGTCTGGTAACTCTAAATTCCAACTTGAAACCGTTAATTTTAACATTTGGACATAAAATTTCAAACTAAAAGTTGAAATCCATTCGCAACTTTAAATTTTAATTCAAAAGTTAAAATTAAAATTCTTGTTATTAAACTAGCAGTTTCGAAGGGTCTGGTAACTCTAAACTCCAACTTGAAAACGTTAGTTTTCATTTGGACGTAAAATTTCAAAGTAAAAGTTGGAAATTCATTCGCAACTTTCAATTTCAATTCAAAATGTAAAATTTCAAAATTCTTGTTATTAATCTTGCAGTTTCTAAGAGTCTGGTAACTCTAAATTCCAACTTGAAACCGTTAATTTTAGCATTTGGACATAACATTTCAAACTAAAAGTTGAAAATCCATGCGCAATTTTAAATTTTGAGTCAAAAGTAGAACTTTCAAAATTCTTGTTATTAAACTTGCGGTTTCCAAGGGCCTGGTTACTCTAAATTCCAACTTGAAACCGTTAACTTTAACATTTGGATATCACATTTCAAAGTAAAAGTTGGAAATCCATTCGCAACTTTAAATTTTGATTCAAAAGTTAAAATTTCAAAATTCTTGTTATTAAACTAGCAGTGTCTAAGGGCCTGGTAACTCTAAATTTCAACTTGAAAACGTTAATTTTAACATTTGGACATGAAATTTCAAACTAAAAGTTGGAAATCCATTCGTATGATTTAAAAGTTCAAATTTTATAATTTTGTGACAGTAACTCTAAATGGTAACTTGGATTTTTGAACCAGGAAATGTCATACTTGAAGTTGGGGAAACCATTGGTAACTTTAACTTTAAAAATTAAAATTTTAAAAACAAATGCTCAATGTATTAGGAGCAAAATCACATTTTCACACATTATATTCTCCTGATACAAAAGTAAAGGTTTAAGAGACTATGTATTGGTGGAATATTTCTCATAATCACACTAAAAAATTGCTCATAGATATGTTCTGTTGATAGACAGAACATTTTTCTAATAGATAATGTATTAGGAGCAGAAAGATCACCCCCATTAAATTCAGCTTGAGCATTAGCAGCAGAAACACCTCCTCGCAAAATAAAATGTTCTCATTAGCATAAAAAAAGACAATTGATTATGTTCTCCTAGTAATCAGAAAAGAATAGAACAATTTTTTAGTAGTCACTTCCTGTGTAGGAGCAAAATGACTTAGTCACACAGTATTTTTATTGATAAAAAAGTCTTAAAAGATCAGGAGCATAAGCATACAAAAAACCTCATCAATTATGTTCTCCTGGTAGCCAGGAAACAATTGCACTTGGCTCAGGATAGTGCTAGAAAGAGGGAAGTTAATGAAGAAATAATACAGTAGTCTATCTAGTGAAGTACGATCTTTGCTCAATAACTATACTCACTGTCGCTACTACAATCGTCCACCAAAATAATCTCGTGTAACAAATGACTGGGTGTTTGTAAAATAACACTCCAAATCGTCCGCAGTATCACGCTAAGCAATTCGTTATAAAAAATAATTATCACCGACGCGGTTAAAGTAGGATTGTATAAAAATTCGGTACAGCTAAAACGGGAGACGTCAGCGATTAATTGGTTACCATCGTACACCTCACCCTTTATTCCTTGGATCCTTCAGGGTGCGATTTAGGGGCATACGATCGCTGAGAACGGTATTTAAAGCGAATTTCTTTAAAGCCCTCTCGCCCTCCTTCCTCTCCTTCGAGTCTTCTAAATAGGCGGCCTCGCCGTTGTTGCCCAAGTTCGGTATCATCTTCCGCTCGTACTCCCGCAGTTTGAGCTCGAAGACGTTCTCTTCTTTAGTGAGCTGTTCGTGCGCGATCGAATTGTAGTTGTCGTGGATGTTACGTACGTAGAAAATCACCGCGAAGATCACCAACATACAGAGGAGGCCTCGACAAGTTGAACGTCTCATGCGTATGCATTTTATGAGCATAATTGGACGGAATCTGCACGTTGCACTTTTTTATGTAAATTATATGGTGGACAACATGGCAATTTTGCGTAGACCTCCCCCTCTATTTTCGATCTCGTTATGCGTTGGAATGGCCTTTATCATTAATCATTACCGAAATGGGTAAATAATTACTTTGTAATTCATAAATTAATGATAACGTGTTGATGTTTAGACGTTCATTACTTGTCGCTCATTTAGAGGTTATGTTCACGTGGACAAACAGTGCGTTTCTCATAATCAGGTGACATTTATTATACTTATTCACTTATGTCCATACGAGTCAAGTCTCGAAATGCCCGTAAGTAGTAAGTAACAACATTTATCGCACATAGATTCTAAACTGAAGATCTTTGATTAGAGTAATCCCGCTCCTGCAAGATAGGTAACCCGCCCCTGGTTTCAGGGTTTCGAGCCTACATTGGAATGTGGAAGACAGTCACGGAATTAGGTGTCATAGCTCAATTTTGACTACAGTTTTTACCACCCCCGCGACTGCTTCATTCACGGAGAAAATTGTTAATTACAAACAAGTCAGTGCATACATCAAACGAATCGGTAATTTCCACATATTAAAGTAAAATGATAAAAACTTATATCAATGTTACTTCAGGGACAAGACCAAGTAATCAACATCAATAAACATAAATTAAGCAAGCATTACACCAAAAACGTAAACAATTATAAACAAAAGGGTAACGGTATTAAACATTTCGTTCTGCATTGCGGTTAAACCAAGGAAATTTCAAAAACGAAGATTGAAACATACAAAAAGTATAAAATGCGGCATGTAACACACAAATACGATATAAAGAAATGCAAAAATTACTAACTGCATTAAATAACACAAAATAACAACAAAGCGCGTTCCCGACCGCCATTCAAGACAAGATGCCCAAAAGTAACCCCTGTTCGTGCGTTTTAGATAGCGCAAGCAGCTTTTTCCCACCTAGAAATTGCATGGTTGCCAACTCTCAAAAATGTATGTATCGTCGTAAGTTGTATATACAGGGTGGAACCTTTCAGTTCCAACAAAGGAAGCCTATAAATCATTCTTATTACACTTACAATTTTGTGGTTGCTTTCGTATTCGAATTGTATTCGAATTTACGGGGGGGGGGGGGGGGGGGATTCCATAACCTCCTCCCCCTTCTCGGTGTTGCGGTATTTAACAAAAGCGTTGAGGTTTCAAGACTCTCGTGATCATCTTCAAGAGAGTGTAATCGAATATTCCTTTGCTGATGATAATTCCATACCCCACTGAATTGTGGTAGTAAAATTATCGTGTGAATATCATCACTAAACGTTTTAGGGAGGAATGGGGGGGGGGGGGGCTGAGGTATATTTCCCTTCTTTCCCCCAATAGAGAACAGTTCCATTAGCATTTCCCTAATACTACCATTAGAGTGCTGACGTTTGAACTGATTTTTCGGAAATAGTCCATTCTTTCGCTTACTGGGGGGGTATGGCCTAAACCCCCCCCCCCCCCCCTTCTATATTTGCAGTACGGAAGAGAGGAACTCATAATCCTTCTCCAATAACTGCCTAAACGGTCTGCAAAAGAAGGTGTAACTGGGGGGTCTGGGGGGTATGGAATACTCCCCCAGTAGACGACAGTTCCATTGCCATTTACCAAATACCACCATAAGAGTACTAATGTTTTAACATCATTTTTTTTCGGATTTTTCGAAAATAATCGTCAATTCTTTCGCTTACGGGGGAGGGGGGGGGGTATGACGAGACCCCACTAAAAAGAACAAGGCAAGAAAGGATAGAATTTTAGAAAAATCAACGAGGAGAGGCTATGGGATTGGAACAAAGACGGGCTACATCAGCGGAATTGGATGCCTTTTGCTGCGAAAATACCAAAAACATCATCTGGGTCGAGGAAACGTACGGCCCTTAGGGACTTATGCGTGGAAAGTAGAAGGTACTAGGGCCGGAAGAACGGCGCAACACCTAAACGCCAGGGAAGTGGAAGATTTAAGGACCAGCCGTAAACAACTGAGGAGCGCGATCGAAAAAAGAAAGAAAGAATGTTTGCGAGAGGGAGAGGGAGCGAGCGATCGGACTTTGCGCGGAGTCCAGGAACAAGCGCAGATACTGTTCCCTTTGAAAGATGGCGGTAGATGATCAAGACAACCAAAGGAAGATCGAAGAAAAGGAGATCACGGAGGCAGCCAAACAAATGCCCAAGATGAAAGATCCAGGGCCGGAATGTGATAATAGACGCCCTAGAAAGGACGGGAGCACCGAGCACAATGTGTAAATTAATGTATTAATGTAAGACTACCGTCCCCGAAATAATTATGAAATAGAGGTAAATGGAGGCGTCCCTCAGGGATCAGTATTAGGTCCACTGCTATGAAATATGGCGTACGATGAAGTAGTAGGCATGACGGTACCGAGGGGGGTGAAGTTGATTGCCTTTGCAGATGACCTCACAGTGATAGCTACGGATAGGGAACTGGAGGTGATGGAACGCCGTATGGACACCACCATGGAAGACTCTCGTGATAATCTTCAAGAGAGTGTAATCGAATATTCCTTTGCTGATGATAATTCCATCCCCACTGAATTGTGGTAGTAAAATTATCGTGTGAATATCATCACTAAACGTTTTTGGGAGGAATGGGGGGGGGGGGGTCTGAGGGGTATTTCCCTTCTTTCCCCCAGTAGCGGACAGTTCCATTAACATTTCCCTAATAACACCATTAGAGTGCTGACGTTTGAACTGATTTTTCGGAAATAGTCAATTCTTTCGCTTACTGCGGGCTATGGCGTAGACCCCCCCCCCCCCCACGTTCTAGATTTGCAGTACGGAAGAGAGGAACTCATAATCCTCCAATAACTGCCTAAACGGTCTGCAAAAGAAGGTGTAGCTGGGGGGTCTGGGGGTATGGTATACTCCCCCAGCAGACGATAGTTCCATTGCCATTTACCAAATACCACCATAAGAGTACTAATGTTTTAAAATCATTTTTTTCGGATTTTTCGAAAAGAATCGTCAATTTTTTCGCTTACCGGGGGGGGGGGGGGTTATGACGAGACCCCACTAAAAAGAACAAGGCAATAAAGGATAGAAGATGAAACGCCATATGGACACCACCATGGAAGCCATCGACAAATGGATGGGGGAGAAGAGGTTAAAATTGGTGCGGCGGCCATAGTAGGCCATGCGAAACCTTCCCCAGATAGTGGCGAATATTGGGGGGGGGGGGCGTTGAGACTGAGAAAAATACTAAGGATCACAATACATAGAAGCTTGAAGTTCGTCCAATACGTGAAAATCCGGGCCGAAAAGGGCAAGGTCGTGGCAAAAAAGCTGCAAATCCTGTCCAGGAACATAGGGAGTCCTAGCGCAAGCAAGATGAGGGTAATCAGTACCGCGGTCCACAACGCCATGTTATATGAAATTGAAGTTGGGGGGGACGGAAGTTAAAATGAGAAACGTGAGGGAAATCCTGGAGCGGGTGCAGAGAACTATGGCCCTGAGAATAGCCTCGGCTTATAAAACAGTCAGTAACAAAGATCTTTGTGTAGTGGCCGAGGTAATACCACTGGCAATACAAGCGGATGCTAGAGCAGACGGGCAAAGACTCCTTGGCTCGCTGGTAGGAGGAATGGGGTCGTAAGGAGTCCGGGACAAGTAGATTGATTCGAGAAAAGCCCGATCAGCCTAAATGTGAAACTTTAAGATGAAAGTTGGAAGATATACCTAGAGAAGTGGGCAGTGCTCATAGACCTGCCTCAGTTGGGGGGGGGGGGCATACGGGAAAACATCAGAGTGCTCTAGAGCTTGACACGATTGTCTTAGTTTGCGTTCCACCCCCCACAGCCCTCAGTAAGATATCGAAATAACTTACTACATATCGGAATAGTTTTGCCCCCTCCCTTCGCTGCACTTGTTGATATTGATTTAATCATTAACACGACAAAGTTTGTTTTCTCGAACAATTTGTGCGCAACGACACCCTCCATTTCCATTCCATCGATACCGAGTTCCTTTCGTAGCAAATGCTGACCCGAGAAGCTTTTTAATCGCAAGGATGGGCGCTGTACTGCAGACCATTTCCGATAAGTTCTGGGACGAGGACCTTTGGCTGCCGCAAAACATGACGTGGAAGGACTTAGAGCCGGGCTTCAGAGATCAGGTGTGGTACTCCAATCCGAAGCATCTCTATCTCTCCGTTCCTTGCGCGTTTTTGATATTGACGCTGCGCTACTTCGCCGAGCGGTAAGGTCGAGATTAATTCCAATTTGTGTTCACGAGGGTGCTTCCAGCTTCTGCCTGTCGGCGATAGGCGCGCGGGTCGGAATTAGGAAACGAAAAACCAAGGCTTTCCCTAACTTTCTGCTGGAAAAGACCTACTCGATTTGTCAGGAGATGAGCTACGTGGAGGTAGGGGCGCGTGTCCTCGGCGTAGTTGACGCAGTTTTCAGATTCTAGGATTGGCGAAGCAGTTGGACTGGACCGAGAGAAGAGTGGAACGGTGGCTGAGGGTACGCAACGGCCAGAGCAAGCCGTCCAGGTTGAAGAAATTTTGCGAAAGCTCCTGGCTCTTTTGCTTCTACCTGAGCATTTTCTCTTTCGGATTGGATGCCTTTTGGAATAAGCCATGGCTGTGGGATATAAATCAGTGCTGGTATAGGTTCTTAACTATGTCCGTCCTTGATCGATCCTACTTTTAGGTTCGAATATCCCCGCCACAATATCGACGACGAAATCTGGTGGTTCTACATCATCTCCACGTCGTTCTACCTGTCATTATTTATTAGCCAATTCTTCGACGTCAAACGAAAGGACTTTTGGCAAATGTTCACCCACCACGTCACAACAATCGCCTTGCTGACCTTCTGCTGGGTCCTCAACTTGCACAGGATAGGCATCCTAATCTTGCTTCTTCACATTTGCGCCGACATCTTCCTGGATGCGGCGAAAGTGGCACGCTACGCCGGATACCAGAAGCTGTGCGACTGCATCTTTGCCATGTTCACCGTCGTTTGGATCGTCACCAGGTTATGCATTTACCCGTTTTGGATTATTCGAAGGTAAAGCTTCCATAGCGTCCACAAAAATTGTCACCTGCCTATTTTAGCACGTTGACGATGCCACTGACGGCCGGACCACCGTTTCCCGCTTACTTTGTGCTCAACGGTTGCTTGATTGTGCTACTTATGCTTCATGTGTTTTGGACTTATTTGATACTAAAAATCCTCGCGAACTGCCTCAAGGCTGGCCAAACGGGCGGCGATATCAGATCGAGCAGTTCCGGTGACAGTGAAGATTAAGTGCCATTTTTATCGATTTTGTAATAAATAAATATCGTTACCTTTTCCTCTTTAAAATAGTGACGAGTTTACCTGTTCCTCCCCCCTCCACTCCTTAGAAAGAACATTTTTTCACCTTGAACTTTTGAGAACCATGAAGCCTTGAAACCTCAGGGCCTTGAATCCACATATTTAAACGCTCCAAAAATCCATGTTGACGAACTTGAAGGCTGTCAATACGTAAAAGGTGTTCAACTGATATGTCAACGGTTTCAACTTTTCAAGGTTGCAAGATGATTCTTCTAAAAGCTTCATCAATAATTCCAAAGTACCAATGCCTCAAGGCTTCTTTGCTTGGCTTCAGCTTCTCTTTCAAAACTTTATGCCGTGATCGGTTCAGGACTTGAGACCTTAGAAAGTTGAAGCCGGACATAATTCTATAATCGCAGGAATCGTGGAGCCTAATCGGAGACCTGGACATTTGCACTCTTAGACCCTTGAAGCATGGAAGGCTGAAGGTTTTAAAATCTTGAAGTTGCCTCATAAATCTCTGTAAGCTGAACCTGGAGCCTTGATACATTGGTGTCTTAAAAATCTCCGCAACTTTGAAGTAGGTAGATCATAACATTACACTTTTAAAGTTCTGGAACATGGAAGGATTCGTGGTTTGGAGCTTTGGAAGCTTTAAAGCGTTATATCCTTATCCACTTACGAACTTGAAGCTTTGGAGGCATAACAGTATTATGACTTGAGGTTTTTAAGCCTTGGTGTTTTGGAACCTTAGGGTTCTGGAACGTTTACGACTTTGAGGCTTAGAGTCATGAAAAGTTAGCCTTAAGCTATTGAGGCCTTATAGTTCTGAAGCGATGAAGTTTTGCAGCGTTAGCGTTGGTGTTTTAGAAGCTCGAGAGCTTTGAAGCCTTAAAACCTTAAACCTATTACGGGTAGAGTTTTAACCATAAGGTTCAATAAACCGGTGATTTAGAAGCCTTGAAGTGGCAAAGTTTGTAAGTTTGCTTTCTTATAGTCGCGGGAAACCTTTTACGGGCTGAAAACCTTTTTCGAGATTGCAAGTTTCCAACGCACGAAGTGTTCAAGCTGTAAATGCTTCATTCGAAGGCTTCAAAGTTTAAAAATTCAAGGCTTTTAGTCGTGTTAAGTCAGCGAAAGTTCAAGGCTCGAAGTCGAACTGAATTCATGAATCTTCAGAGAATAGGGACCTTGAGGTTTTGATAGCTTGAAATCACAGAACCTTGGAGCCTTACCAAGTTTTGTTGGTGCCAAGGATCCTTGAAGCTTTGAGACCTTTGTGCCTCTAAAGCCTTGAACATTTGAAGGCGCAAAATCGTAGCCTCAAAGCATGAAAGCTTTGAAGCATTGGTGCATCCAAGACTTTAAAGAGTTATATCCTTGTGCATTTTAAGTCTTGAAGCTTTGGAGGCACAATAAGATTAAGGAGTCAAACCTTTAAACCTTGGAACTTTATTGAAACCTTGAGGACTTCAAGACCTTGAGACCTGGGTCTTGAGAAGTTGAAGTTTAGAGATTCGGATTTTTGAAACCGCGAAACTCTAAAACTTGTGGAGTTTTTTACGGGAAGGAAGCCTTGAAACCGTTTTCTTTAAAGCCTTGAACCCAATTTGGTTTCCGGTTTTGCAGCCTTTAACAATTTGAAACCTTTGAAGAATTGCCAATGCCAATGCTCCGAACCTTTTCGCGCGATAAAACTCCATTGCATGAAACTTTTAAAGCTCCTAAACCTTTCAATTAATAAAAGACCTTAAGGTTTGAAAGTGTCAAAGAATTTAAATCTTTAATGAGTCATGGTTACAATACTTGAACTATTCAGGACCTTAAAGTCTCACAGCTCTGGCGCCAAGGCTTTAGAGCTTTAAGCATTGCCAGGCTACAAAGCCAAGGTTACAATATGTTAAGGCGGGCAGGTTCTAAGCTTCAAAATTTAATTCTGTCTCTGAAGAGCGCGCCTGCGGCTCGAAAATGTTCCTTCGCGTAAATTTTACCACTTCTAAATGAACGGCCATGTTACGAACTAGGCCCGTCACAACGCAAAATCGACTAAGCTACAGGTAACTCCCACTTTTTCACCAATCATGTTACAAACATAATTTCAGAAGTTATCATTCTACCCCTATCTTTGGAGGATCGATTCGTCCCTTAAGTCTTTGAATCTGCAATATGTGTGATAGTAGAAGTGATTCTTTGCATGATTTTCTAATAGTTTATATTTTCGTAAGTGAGAAAAATATGCGAAATTGGTCTTATGATGCCCGTAAAATGCAACTTTCACTCTGGCAAAAGGCGAACTAAATTTACCCCGGCAACCGAATTTTTTCTAACGTCTGACTCGTGAAATCAAAACTGTGAACTTGAATCATACAGTGAATACCTCAGTGGCCCGGAAACGAATGCCCTTAAAAATCCTCTTTTCCGATTAATCCCTCCTATTCTTTATTAAGTTTTTTTTAGCGCATTTTTTAAAAATTAAAAAAAATGTGCTATTGTTTGCGTTTTGTCCGTCCGGGCCCACTTCTGCCGTTTTGAACTACTTTTAGGGGAATGGGCCTAGAGTCCTGGAATTTTTTGCAGTAGGTAGCCTATACCTTGAAGGTGTGCCAGACGGCCATCAAATTTCGCTGTCTAAAACGCCCCCCCCTCCCACGAATTATTTCCTGAGATGTTGTTTTTGAAAATAAAACGTGGGAGGGGGGGGGTAAAAATTAATTTTATCTCATTGTATTCTAATTAAAGGTCTCAACGAAAGAAACCGTTTTCTACCAACTACTACCCTTTTTTCTGATCTTTTATGAAAGTACGGGGCGGAGGGGAAAGGGGGGGGGGGAGTGGAACTAGTTTTATCCTTCATGGTACTTTAATGAAAGTTCTCAACGAAAGGGATTAATTTCTACCAACCATAGCCCTCCTCCTCGGCCTCTTATCGTGATCGGGTATATTCCCTTATACCTCACGAACGGATTGTCGGAAGAGGGTACTCACAAAGGGCGATTTAGACGTCTGCAAGAAATATGTCCATTGGTGATGTCAAAACAAAAGCTATTTCGGTTTAAAAAATGCGGTTTATCTGCACAAGAGCGGGGAGTATTCCATACCCCCTCCCGGTAACTTTCTTCCACAAAACATTCAGCCGTCAGGGGAATCTTAAGATTATTTTCGGGAAAACATTATCAGATTCTACTACTAAGTACCGCAAGAAACGTGGCACTAGGAAGCCTGGGGAGTATCATGGAATAACCCCAGCAAATCAAGATTCAGTGAACGTTTCCGGAAAGTTGTTTCCAATGATCCCCTTGTGGTGGTATTCTGAAAACGGCGAGGGACTGTCTTATGCTGGGAGATGTTCCATATCTCCAGAACCCCCTGGTAACTTTCTGCCACAACACGTTCAGCTTCAGGGAATGTCATAATTATTTTTGTGAAAAAATCATCAGATCCTCTCGTTAGAAGTACTGCAAAGAACGTAGCACCAGGAGGTCTGGCGGGTATGGTATAACTCCCAGTTAAGGAAGATTTCCAGAAAATTATATTAAAAGTACCTTTTCCTATGGTATCCTCGTAGTGGTTCTGGAATTGGCAAGTGAACTGTCTTATATGTCGGGGTGGTTGGGGTGGGGGAGAATATTTCATACCCCCCGGTAGCTTTCTTCTACAAAACGGTCTACTGTACCTATCTGGGCGACCAATACCGAAACACCTTCAGCATCACCGTACAGGTATAGAGACGATGGAGTGGAAAAGGGGGATGAAAATGAGCAATGCACAAAAGAAAAAGATAGGACTGAGAGACAAGCAGAAGGAGGAGCCAGGAGAGGCGCGTCCAGGAAAAGGGGGAAGAAAGAGAAACGTGAAACGGATTTTTCTACATGTAAATTCACAACCACTTGCACTTTGACCTTCCGTAGTTACGAAGCAAAATCATGGGTTATCAATCCATATCAAGCCTGATTGTGCCATCGGCCGGTTTAACTTTATTAATGCACGTTTCGCTGACAGAAATGGCAGTTACGTTGATTTCTTTACAGTTTAGAGATTTTCTTACGTTTTTCGTTTTTTGGGGAGTGTTAGTCAGTGCTAAATATCAACCAAACATTGTGCTAATTGTTGCCGATGACCTGGTAAGACTTAATCGACGAAGAGCTAACCAAATCAAATGATTAGGGTTGGAATGATGTGGGGTTCCATGGGTCGGACCAAATTCCGACCCCCAACATCGACGCTTTGGCGTACAATGGGATAGTGCTGAACCGATTTTACGTCCAGTCGACGTGCACTCCGTCCCGTAGCGCTCTACTAACCGGCCAGTATCCAATTCGCTACGGTTAGTCGGCACCCTCGCGATAATTTTTATCGCCACTTTTCAGGTTTCCAGGGATGGCCGCTCAGAAACGGCGAAAACAGATACTTGCCGACGCACCTGAGGACGCTCCCAGACCATTTGAAAGGCTTGGGGTACACGACGAGCTTAGTGGGAAAATGGCATCTCGGATTCTCGTATTGGTACAACACGCCGATTTACCGCGGGTTTGATACGCATTTCGGATATTGGACAGGTCACATCGACTACTTTAATCATACCTCTGATGGAGGCTTTGCAATGCGTCGCAATCGACACGTGGCGTGGGAGACTCAAAACAATTATGCCACGCAATTGTTCACCCAAGTATCCCAAGAAACGATTATGAAGCACGATTACGCCAAACCCCTATTCCTGATGGTGTCTCACTTAGCCGTTCATGCAGCCGATCGGAACCAACTGTTGGAGGTACCCGATTTGGTCGAAACCAATAAAACGTTTGGGTACATTACGGACTACAGAAGGCGGTTGTTTGCTGGAATGCTTGCGGAACTTGACAAGTCGGTCGGTGCGATCTGCAGGACGTTGCAAGATAGGGGTGTCTTCGACAATACCATCATTCTATTTTTGTCTGATAATGGCGCCCAAAACACGGGCACTAGATTTGATAATTCAGGATCCAATTGGCCTTTACGCGGAGTAAGTGCGAGCCTGGTTCCATAACCTGTCGCAATAAAACGAATCCTGTTACAGATGAAAGCAACACTGTACGAAGGAGGGGTGCGCGTCCCTGCTGTATTATACTACGGTAAACTAAAAACAAATGCTACCATCAACAACCAACTTATGCACATAACTGACTTGTTACCAACTTTGTACGCCGCCGCTGGTATGCACCCAGTGCGATCATTATCGCTCTACAGTGAGTTTCAGGTGGAAACACCAGAGATTTGGGTACCATAGACGGCGTCGATCAATGGCCTACAATCAGTGGTGGTAGCAAATCACCTCGTTCGAGTGCCCTATTAGATATAAACGAAGTTGCTCTACATTCCGCTGTGATCTCGCATGGAGGTCGTTACAAACTGGTGAATGGTAAGCGTTGACAACGCCGCTGGTATTCTCACTGAGTGCAGGTTCTGTTTTAAATCCAACCTTTGGACGCGACGGATACTACGGTTATGACACAAGTTTAACCAACAACCCTCCTTACGATGCGGACCTGGTACTGGACAGCGAGACCAATAGAGTAATCGACAAGGGGTTGACGAAGAAGAAGCTATTTCAAACTCGGAAGAAAGTCACGATCGCTTGCGACCATGGAGGCGGAGAGTCGGTGTCGCGTGAGGACACCCTTTTCTTGTTTGATTTGGAGAATGATCCTTGTGAGACCAAGAATTTAGCGGACAAGCTGCCAAATATTGTCGCCGATTTGAGCGCGCAGCTATTGTGGTATTGGGAAGTGCTACAACCTCAGCATTGTCAGGAACCCGATCCGAACTCTAATCCGATCTATTACAACAATACGTGGGTTCCGTGGATGGAGCAACGCCCAACATGATCTGCTGTCATTATGTATTTAAAAATCATAATAAATATAATCGCATCCTGTTACCCTTACTTGGACATCTTCAAGTGATTCTGGTAGTCTCCATCACTGTCCCGGTTTCCCGCGGTTCTACTTCCCTGTGAGATGGAGATACGCGCACAGGCTATTTAAATCTCGGATCTATGGAAAATGGTTGTACCTAAAGAACAACGTTCTCGAATTCTTCAGGAGAATCACAATCCACCTGTTTGTGGTCATGCTGGTGTTAGTAAGACTGTTGCACGTATTTTACGTTATTATTATTGGCCTCAATTGAAAGCAGACGTTTCTCGTTTTATTCGCCGTTGTGAAGTATGCTCAGCACATAAAGTTGAACAACGTAAGGCTCCTGGTCTTTTTGCCCCCCGTACTACTCCTACTCACCCTTGGCAAGTTTTGAGCTGCGATTTGGTTGGTCCTCTTCCTAAGTCCTCCAAAGGTAATTGTTTTATTCTTGTAGTTTCTGATTACTTCACTAAATTTTCATGCTTCTTCCCTCTGCGTAATGCAACTGCTTCTTCTGTGTAGAAGAACAGATATTTTTAGTGTTTGGAACACCCCAATATATTATTTCCGATAATGGTGTACAATTTCGTAGTAAGGAATTTACCTCTCTTTGTTCTCAGTATCGTTCTATTATTTTATTTACTGCCCGTTATCATCCTAGAGCTAACCCTACCGAACGAGTCAATAGAGTTCTAAAGACTATGCTTTCTTCTTATGTCCAAGATAATCAAAAATATTGGGACAAACATTTAGTAAAAATTGGTTGTGCTATTCGATCCGCTAAACATGACATTACTGGATATTCTCCCTATTACGCTTTTTGTGGCAGAGAACATGTACTCTATGGAGATCTATATCATAAACCCGAAAACCCAGACTCACCAACAATAGAACCTGACCGTAGTACTTTGACTAACAGATCAACCCAGACTTATGAAAACATTAGGAAAGACATAATAGCAAGGATGCTGAAGTCTACTCAACGCACTCAATCCCGCTATAACCTTCGACATAGACAGATTACTTACAAGAAAGATGACTACGCGTGGAAACGGAATTTTGTACTTTCTGATGCTTCTAAGAACTTTAACGCCAAACTCGCTCCCAAATTTATTGGACCCTTCCAGATTAGGACCGTTATTTCTAGATGGACTTACGAATTAAAAGACAAAGACGGAAAACCTATAGGCACTTACCATGTAAAAGACCTAAAACCTGATCATACTATTACTCAACCTAGACCTAGTGCTGACTCTCCTTCTGATACCGACTCAGACAAGTCCTCGACTTCTGATAACCGATCTTTGAGACCCAGACGACGGAAACGTCGCAGAATATAACCTGATTTTGACATTTCATCTTTAACGACGCCTGTGTAGGAGCGGGCTAAGAATTGTCCTACTGCAGGGGCACTGCATGTGGTAGAAGTCCACTACTCAATGGCAAACGTTTAGGTGGTTACGTCCTTTTTGGCAGGTTGGTCGGAGAATGGAGGTAACGTTCGTTGTTTGTTTGTTTTTCTGATGTGTACGACGATGATGTAGGCTGGTTTTTGTTTTTTTGAGTACCTTTAGATCTACTTTGGATAGTACTCTTGGTCTTTCTGTCATTTTGTTTTGACATAGCCATCCCTATGTATTGTTTATCCCTGGATTTGACTTCTCTTATAGATTTTCTCATCGATTTGATTTGATTTCCTGACTTATTTTTTTATTTGCACAAGTAGATTGGAACTAAGCTAGTACGCTTTGGAACCCGCCGAACGAAGCCAATTTGCTTAGTGTGTTGGTAGATGTTTTTTTATTTGTTTTTAGATGTGTGTATTTAGAAGATTTTGGGCTTTGTCCCTTTGGTTTGCGTTAGATGTTTGCTTTTGGTTCCCCATCACGATGCTGCTTCACAGTATCCGAATGGTCGGTTTGGTTGCTGCCAAATCTTTCGGCTCCAGTAGTCAGAATTGCTGGGTGATGGTGTATGCAGCTGGAGTATATCATTTCCTTCATTTTGGTGGAAGTTTAACGGCTCTTTCGACTCTTCCATCCCGCATTTTCCTTCTTCTTTTCCGTGAATTGCTTAACGATTATTGTCAGTTTCGACTGTAGTTTTCTTCATTTTTTTTTATCTTGCTAGATTCTTTAGTTTCTCCGAACTTTGTTTGAATTTCGGGAAATTCAAGTTTAGTTAGGGGGGAATTTGTGACGTTATTTTCTTTACCGTGTAATCTTTGCTTTGGCTTACATTCGAATTACTATGTGGAATCCCTCTCGAATAACATTATGCGAACTCTTACCTTTATATAGCAATCCTTACGCCATCTAGGTGTTCACATTATAACCCGATCCTTTATTTGCGATATAGTTTTCTTTTAAAAAACCTTTTGTCTAGTTTTCTGTTGATTGGCGCGGTTATTCTTCTCCCACTCACTGTCGACGCGCGCAGTCCTTGTTGAAGAACTCGATTCGATCTTGACTTGTATTTGAGCTACACGCCATTACACTTACTTGACATATTCGTCTACCTTTATTGGGATTAATTAGTGGTGTTGTACTAAGATTAGTGAAGTTTTCTCTTATCATCTTACTTCCAATTTCGCTGAAGACGCATTGCTGCGGATTTATCTTACAAGTTTAAGGCCGTTTTGCGGTATGTTATCTATGACGTATTATCTTTTTATTTTAAGTAATCTATTCTAGGCTACTTTCGTACTCCCTAAGTTTTCTTACTTATTATTTTGGTTTTACCAATTGCTTCCTGACTGTATGTTGATATTTTGACGTGGATACGCGAATACCGGATTTTCCATATGGTGCAATAGAATTCCATTGAAGTTTCGACGCCATTACAAACAAAAACGCTCTACATATTTCTACCTTACCGACTGCAGAATTGACTGCAGAATTACCGCCATTTCATGTGAAACCGATATTTGAACTGATGACCCAATTTTACGAAGTTCGTTGACCTACGATTCATTCCTCCGAAACGCAAGTACTTAATTAACGAGACGTGTGGAGTTAGTACTGTGTAAATTTTTAATTAACGTTATGTATTTTGTTTTGAAGAACTTGCTCGTGTAATTTCTTTTGAATTGATAAGATTGCTTTGTCATTGAAGATAGATTCAATTATTTTATTTGTACATTTTATAGTATTTTTCTCTTAAAACTTCTTGTCACTTTTTTATATCTCATACCGATTGTGAAAACCAACCCTTAGTCGAACCAAATTTTGTTTTGTTGTAAAGTCATTTGAATTTTTGATTCTTTTTAGTATTGATTGCAATTCTACGTACAAGAATAACCATTCGTGTCTTACGTTAACCATTGCTTATGCGATATATTGTGCAACGCGAATCATTACCCTTCTTATATTTTTTTTGTTTTTGTGTCTGACTGTTTCAGATTTGCAGTTTCGCGTCCTCTGAGCTCGGAAGGTTGCGACCGGAGTTCAAGGTAAATTTAGTTATTTTCGTCGTTTTTTTCCCTTTTAACGTTTGATTACATTTTGGTTGTTGATACTAACGAGTTGTGATTATTACTTTGTTTGAAAGTCACTTAATGATTATAGCTCCGTTGTTGCTATGAAATAAATCCTTGATTACTTAGAGGTTTTTGACAGGTTTCAACGTTGGTCTTGTTCAACCATTGAGGCGAGTCTTGAAAGTCACATTTGAAACCTTGATGGCTCGATGCTTTGGAGCCTGAGATATGGAGGGAGAGAGAGAGAGAGAGACGGGCAATAGCACTAGCATGGGAGGACAAGAAATAAAAGAATTTAAGCTAGGGCCATGGATCACCAACCGATGGAAATGAAGATTTATTATATGCAAATCAAAAAATGGAAAGATGCAAAGAGAGAAACAGTTATAGACACTGTGGAGAGAAGGAGTGGAAACAGGTCAATGAGAGATAAGAGAAAAGAATGCTGCGACCGGGACTGTACAGAAAAGAGAAACATTCAACAGATATAGAACATTGATGGTGAAAGAAAGAAAAAGAGATTTTATTAAGGTATTACAAGGAAAACAGGAGACAGAAGAGGTTGTACAGGATGAAGGAAGATGGAAAGACACGAGATATAAAGAGATCAGGTTGGATAGCAATTAAAGAGATTGAAGAAAGGACAAGCGGCTTGGAGGAATGAAATAAGAAATGACACATGATCACTGTTCCATTGCCAATTCCAGAATACCACCTAAGAGGACTCCATACCTAGCGGTACGTTCATTGTGGTGCAGAGAAGAGGCTCTAATAATCCGTCTCCTCCTTTGTAAAAAAAGGCGTTACCGAGGAGTCCGGAAGTATGACATCCCCCCCCCTTCCCGTAGTAGGCGACAGTTTCATTCTCATTTACAGAATATGACCATAAGAGGGCTGATGGTTGAACATAATTTTTCAGAAACAGCCCAGGAAAATACCCGTCGATTCTCTCGTTTACTGGGGGGTTTTCCAACCCCCCCCCCCCTAACACCGCGGTTTCACGTTCAATGCGGTGCGGAGAAGAGGCTCTAATAGTCCTTCTCCAACAACTGTCAACTGTCATCTGAGCCCTAAGCGGTTTGTAAAAAAAGGTGTTTGCTACCGGGGGGTTTGGGTGTATGGAATACCCCCCCCCCCCCCCCAGCAGACGACAGTTCCATTGTTATATACAGAATACGACCAAAAAAACCCCGCCCACTCAAAAATAAAGACGAAAATAAATAAATAAAATGAGGGAGCTGAGGGTTGAACATAATTTTTCGGGAATAGCGGGCAGGTCAGGCAAAACGGCTTGTAAAAAAAGGTGATTCCGAGGGGGGGGGGAGATAGAATACCCCCAGCAGGCAACAGTTTCATTGTCATTGACAAAATACGATCAGAGATAAGAGAGCTGAGGGTTGAACATAATTTTTCGGAAATAGCCGTCGATTCTTTCGTTTAAGTGCCGATGGGTACTCCCTCCCCCCCCCCCCCCCCCCACACACACACAGACCACAGTTCCATTTTTTGCCATTTTCAGAATACCATCATAGGTTGCTGTGAAGATTTCTTCTCGAAAATTATTGTGAGACTCGTTGAACGTTTTGTGGAAAAAAATAGCGGGTGGTCTAGAATACCTCCAGAATATGACAGTTATCCTGCCATTTTCAGAAAACCACCACGGGAGTACTATGGGAAAGGGATGAGGGTTATGGGAAAGGGTTATCGAGTCCTTTAATTTAGATACCATTTTTCAGAGTCGGTCATTGAATATTCCTTTGCTGGGAGATATTCCATACCCCTCAGACCCCCCGGTGGTACGTTCTCTGCAGTAGATCTTAGAAGAAGAGGATTTTATGAAGATATGAAGGTTTCTTCTCAAAAATTATCCTGAAACTGTTGAAGGTTGAACATATTGTGGAAAAAATGCCGGGGGTTTGGATACTCCCAGAATACGACAGTTCCCTTGCCATTATCAAAAAAAAAACAGCCACGAGAGTACCATGAGAAAGGGCGATAAGGGTAATTTACTTTTAAAATTATATTTTCCGGAAATACGCATTCCATAACCCCCAGACCCTCCGGTGGTACGTTTTCTACAGTACTTCTTAGGAGAAGAGGATCTGATGATTTTTTCCTAAAAATAATCTTGAAGTTCTTGACAACTATACGTTTTGCAGGAGAAAGTTGCCGGGGGGTCGGGGAGGTATGGGAAACCTCCCAGTATGCACGACGGTTTCCTTGCCATTTTCAAAACATCGCCACGAGAGTACCATGGGAATGGGAAAAAGGTTATGGCGAAGGGCGATAAGGGTCCTTCACTTCTAAAATTGTATTTTCCGGAAATGGTCGTTAAATCTTCATTTGCTGGGGGGCATTCCATAACCCCCAGATCCTCCGGTGGTACGTTCCCTACAGTACTTCTTAGGAGAATAGGATCTGATGATTTTTGCGCAAAAATAAGCTTGAAATTCCTGAAAAGTAAACATTTTGTGGGAGATGTGTGGAGTACTCCCCAGCATATACGACAGTTTCAAAAAATAGCCACGAGGGCACTATGGGAAATGGAAAAGGGTTATGGAGAAGGGCGATAACGGTCTTTTACATCTGAAATTGTATTTTCTGGAAATGTCCGTTGAGTATCTGACGATTTGTTCGCAAAAATAATCTTGAAACTCTTGAAAACTAAACGATTTGTGGGAGAAACTTACCGGCGGTGGAGCCCCCCCCCCCCAAGCAGCATAACAGTCCTTGCCATTTTCAAAAAATCACCACGAGAGTACCAGGAACTAGTCATTGAATTTCGTCGTTGCGACATCCCCCCCCCCCCCCCCAGAAGTACTTAGTACTTGGTAGCAAAGGAGTGACTTGAAGTAGATTGGTGCCCTTCGAGCCTTGAAACCTGAAAGCAAATCCTCTGAAATTTTGGAACTGTTAAGGTGCCACCCTTTTGACGCACGTAAAGCAACAGTTGCATTTTTATTGACTTTTAAGCCTTAAAAGCTGTAAACCTTGCTGATATTGAATCCTTGAAGTCCTGAAGGTATATTGAAACCTTTAGAGACCTTGTAGACTTGAAGCTATTGTAACGGAAACGCTCCAGACGTGACGTCGCCTTTGGCGCTCTGGTATTTTCTAGGCGCGCGATAGTGAGAATGTTTGCGACGTATCTGGTAATTACGCGAGTGTTCTGGACTTACATTGCTTGCGTGTATAAATGGTTGCGGACCGAACATCGCAGGCAGTTTACTACCGAACGAGATCGAGTACGGATGAAACATCGAGCGCGGAAATATAAATTGCGAAGTGTGTGATATAAATAGTCGATATAAATTGTACAGTTTTTATAGTGTTTTAATTTTGTTTAATAAATATTGATATAAATCGAACCCGAATTTATAAATCACGTTACACTATGTTATCTTGGAGAGTGGAGAGCGGTTTTCGAACCTTAATGTCGTAATTGACCTTTGATTATTTAGTGCTTTGGAGCCTAGAAGTATTAGTGCCTCAACGCATTACTCCTCTCAGGACTTTAAAAGGTCTTGGACCGCTAAAGTTTTGGAACCTTAATGTTTTGTCTGAAAGTCCCAAATTTCTAATGCATAGAAACCATGACCTTTCAGAACCTAGTCACTTCAAAACCCCGGAATTCTTGACATCTTTGGAAACCTCTGTAGTGAGGCATCCAAGCTTTAAAACCTTAAGGTTTGCAGGTCTGAGAAATATAAACTTTTTTTTGCATTTTCTAGTTTTCGACAGCTTTAATGTCGTGCTGGGTGAATAAGCGTATGAAGATCACTTATCACGTTGAAGTGGGGGGGGGGGGGGGGGGATAGCCTTCAAAACAAGAACTCAATTAACGCGAAAGAATGCGGTGATTTGGTACAACTTTATTGTCTAACAGCACAAGATTTGCATTAAACAACTGACTAAAATACGAATTCATACCGAGTGCCATACGCAACGTTGACTGCTGCGATGTGCTGAGCGACTATCGATTTTACGCACCTGCAAAGAACATCAGCCGAGTGTTAAAATTTGGTGAGACTTACGCTTGATAGTCGGGATTTAGGAATGTGTTGGAATCGAAGGTTCCGCTATGATTCCTGTGCACGACGAAAGTGCTGGGCAAAACGACAAACTCGTAGCCTTGAGCGTTCAATTCCAGGATGTGCGAGATTCTATCGTGCCCGTAACCGAAGAACCTCTCGTCGTATTCCGTCACGTTACTCTGTACAATTATGTAAGGTTCGTATTGTCGTTTCCATTTTACCTAAAAAGAGTTTCATCACACAGTGGAAAGTTTCTAGAAAAAGATTTCGGGTGGGCCTTAGGTCACGCACCGTATACGGTTCCGTATCAGAGCGCAGTCTGTCGTAGTCGGTTGGTTGGTGTCCCGCGGCGAATTCTTTCGGTTGAAACGGAGTAACCAATTGCTCCTCCCAGAATACCTTTAATTCGAACAGTATAAGTGGGATCGTCGCGTCGAATCCTTTCACTGCAAATGCCGGTACCACCAAGGCCTGAAACACGCACCGGTAATCTATGCACCCACTTTTCGGCGTAGTACTTTACGGCGAGTGGCCAGTTTCAGAAGATCCGGCACTAACAGCTCATGCAGTCGTAGGTTAGGCATGAAATCGACGTCCAGTGGGAACACGTGCGAGGTAACGACATTTCGCAGTGCGACGTTTCGTAGGAGGTTTGCGGGGTAAAATCGCCCCCTTGTGATTACCGCGTGGTATGCGATGTTGTGGCGCCGATGCAAAACGCTGGACCTTTTGATGAAGTCGAGCGCCTTGCTAAAGTTTTCCTCCGCAATGTAAAGGGCGACGCTCACCGGACCGCGCCACCTCCGACACATATCCTCGAACACTGGCAGCTTGTCATAGGACAAATGAGTGACTAGAGTGACGTCAGAGCTCCCAGGCGCGTACTCAAAGTGTCTAATCATTAGGAGAGTTGTACGCTTGTAGGTTTTCGACTTGGATTCTGGAAACTTGGCACAGTGGAGAACCTCCTGAAAGTCCCTCACTTAGTGTGAGCGTTCCAGGTGAATACCCTACCGTAATTTTGGTAGTGTATCCAAAACCCTGACAACGAGAGAGAAACCTGGGTGGTACACCATGTCCAATGTCCCTCGTCGTACCTAAATCAGCAACCTTTCGCATGTAATTCCACTACAAGCAGCGAATTAGGCGCGTATACGCAAAGAGACCCTTACATAAAGCTGCGGGGGCTCGTCTATGCTCGTGTTCGTCGACAGTTTCTCCAAATCAGCCAAGATAACGTTGGCTTGGGTCTGGTTATCTTTGACCACCCCTACAACCTTACAAAAACAGTTTGCAAACTTCCCAACAGATGCTCTACCAGCGTTTCCTGAAACATATTCCAAAGTTGGTCCACGTCGCCAGTGAGCCGCAGATCCGTGTCCATTATTATAAGCCTACTAGTGTGTCGCAGCAGTGTAGGTCTGCGGAAGAGTTCGACCCTTTCCCTCACTGAGATCGCCGGTTTTGAACCGGTGTGGTAGGTGCTGATGTTCACTAAAAATTCGATTGAGAATCTCCCCAGCCCTTGTGATAGTCACCTTGAGGTACGCCCCACGTTTCAAACAGCGTCCTCACCATTCGCTCCGAGGTCGCGTTCACCGAAAAATGGAAGTGGATGGGGGAATTGCGATAGTGGAGCAGAACCTTGAGGAATTCAAAGAGCGGGATGCCGGTGGTGATGTGGAGGACTCCGATGTGAATCGTGTCGCAGTGGAAGCCATCGCCCGAAGGTTTCGGTTTATGCAGTAAAAACGCGTATAAACAGAATACTAAGATGCACGCGACTAAAATTAACACAGCGCGGTTGAAAAACTTCGCCATTGAAGCTTGTGCAGTTTACCTACGGACGATATCTCCAAAAGCCTTTATCTTCCACTGACACTCGAGATATCGCGTAGTCGCTTATCGACGTAAGATAGTAATTACCTTCATCTGGACGGGACGAAATTTATTAGCGTTTAGTATAACATGTACGCCAAAGGCGGGGAATTTTTAGAAAACGAATCAGGATGGTGCTTAATAAGTCGGTCTGATGTTTTTTTGGGTTGAAATTCGAAAATCGAAATTTGAAGAGTCTTTAATTCGCGTGAGTCTCTAAGAGTTTCTGGAGCGCCTTCTAAATGCTAGTTTTAATTTAGGAATTATTAAGAGGAGTCGAAGGTCTTTAAAGAGTCTAAAGAGTCAACAAGGAACCTTTAGGCTTTAGAGCGTTTGCAGTCTATAAGCTTCAATGAACTTTTGAACAGTTGCAAGGACTCGCAAAAACTCTTAACGTTTCAGCTCTGGGAGAGAAAAAGTCCTTACAGAAATTCTCTAAAATATTACATTTTCCTTTTGCAGATATCTTCGTCCATTTTCGAGATATTGACAATTAAGTTTTTACATCGCCGGTAGATGTGTCTCGTCTATATATTCTTTCTTCCCTTTGAGAGTACCCTCCTCCGACACTCCGCGAATATTTGCACCTAACGTTTTGATATCACCAAAAGATATGTCTCGTCTTGACGTTCCACTTCCCTCTATGAGTACCCCCGTCGGACAATCGGTTCTTGAGATATAAGGAATTACCGATCACGATTTTGGGCGAGGAGGAGGACGATGATCTTTCATTAGAATACCATGAAGAATAAAACCAGTTCCAACCCCCAAGCCCTCTCTTTTGCTAAGGAGTGAGAAAAAAGGGCAGCAGTTCGCAGAAAACAGTTCCTTTTGTTGACACCTTTAATTAGAATACCATGAAAAATAAAATGAATTTCTACCCCCTCCCTCTCTCTCCCGGCCACCTACTGATATCGAAAAGGAGTCGCGCAGGAAAGTTATAGTTTGTGAAAACGGTGAGACCTTTCGTTAGATTAACATGAAGGGTAGAACGTGCGTTCACCACCAGCCCCCCCCCCCAATTTTCAAAAATTTTACTTGGCACCAAGTTATGTACGTTTTACTGTCAAAAACAGTATCTCAGGAAATATTTTATGGGGAATCTCCCCTTGAGACAGCAAAATTTGTTGACCGTGTGGCACACCTTGAAGGTATAGGCTACATATATATTGCAAAAAATTCCACTTTAGGAGCAGTTCCCTAGAAGTAGTTCAAAACCGCAGAAGTGGGTGGAACCAGAATGACGTGATGAGTGACAACCCCCCCCCCCTAAGCCACCCAGCCCCTCCTCCTCTTCAAAATCCTGCATGGCAACCCCATACTTGTGACACATCGTTGGAAAGCTACTGAAAAATGCTTTCCAGTGGTACCAATAAAGTCAATATTCATTAAGACAATTTAACAAAAATTTAATAATTAATTTAAAAAAACTAAATGTTGACATTGAGGGATTTATGGCAAAATGGTCAAGAACTTCAACCTAAGCTGCTTCATTACGCAATCTTGGTTGCTTTCTTTTTTTATTGACTTACAGTACAGCTGAACGCGTGGAAATAATATTCATTTCTGGCTCCGAAAATCGATCATCTTTTAGAACAGCTAGAATGTTTAATGAGAGACATCCCGGGAGACAGTGGCGTACGAAGAAATGTATTCTGGGGGGGGGGGGGAATTAAACAAGTTCGTGGGGGGGGGGGGGGTAATAAATAGAAATTGGGTTGCAGGTTGCTGATGCTGGTAGTCATTTATCTATTTATTATTGTAACAGGCGAAAAAGATTAGATTAGAACGGTATTTTATTTCTTACTGCTGACAGGCCCCTTTATTGCTTTTGCTTTAATTAGTCAACGAAAACTTTGAATAATAGGTATATTTATGGGCAAAAAACCAATTTCGACAAAAAATTCAAAGGGCTGTAATTTTTGATCTAGTAGCTCGATCTTGGAACTGTTTGAAATTATGGATTCTACAGGCCACATTCTATAAGAAAATATTTTTTCCCGGTCGATCTGAGACAATTTTTTTTTTCGGGGCAAAAAAAAGGCAGTGTTATACCTTCCTTTTTTACCTAAAATCGACTGCAATTTTGACAGCGCCAATCGATAGCGCTGGTCGAGACCTTTCCAACGAGGGGTCGGAAGGCATATCTACGACGCACCGTTCTCGAGATATTACGGTTTGTCAGAATTTTTGGTCGAAATTTCAAACCGTAATATCTCGAGAACGGTACGTCGTAGATATGCCTTCCGACCCGTCGTTGGAAAGGTCTCGACCGGCCCTATCGATTGGCGCTGTCAGAATTTCGACAAAAAATTCAAAGGGCTGTAACTTTTGATCTAGTAGATCTAGATTCTACAGGCCACATTCTATAAGAAAATATTTTTTGCGGTCGATCTGAGACAATTTTTTTTCTGGGCAAAAAAAAGGCAAAAATCGACTGCACCAAAATTTCGGGAAAAAACTTTTTCTTATTAATTTGGGTGGGTAGAATCCAAAACGATTCGTACTTTTTCGATTAGACGTGTCAATCAAAAGTTATGGGCAAAAAAATGCCTGTTTTTAAAATTTAAAATTCTTATTTTCGTCATTTCGTGAAAGGTAGGACGCAGGTACCTCACCTCAGTAGCAGTACTAAGTACCTGATACCTATTTGTTATTTTGGGCATCAATGTAGCGAATTGGGTCCGTTAACTTGGCCCCCCCACTGAGAGATTTCATAGTCGTATTATTTTGAAATGAATGCGCTCGTTATGCGCTCATATGCGCCACCGATAATAAGTCTTGCGCCATTATCGTTTTTTAGAAATCCGAAAAAACATTGGGGGGGCAAGTGAACGTAGCCCCCCCAGTACGTATTTTGTCCCTTGTAACTAAGTCACCTGATACATTTGGTTATGCGCTCAATTGCGCCACTTGAATTAAAGCTAGCGCCATTACGGTTAAGCCATAAAAATTTTTTTAAAGTGGGAGGGGGCTAACTTAACGTTTTCAAAAGTTACGTTTTTTTACATGTTTTTTCTACTACATCGTACCTTTCATCATGCGCTAAAATGCGCCGTAAACAAAAATCTTGGCGCCATTATAGTGTTTCAGAAACACTATACAGGGTGTTTTTTTTGGGAGCTTTAGTTAAACGATTCTGAGAAAGTAAAATAGGTAGGTTTTTAAAAATTTGTATTTAGGAGTTACTCCGAAGGCCGAAACGATGTAAAATATTTTCAAAATGTACGCACTTCTGGAAATAACTTTTGAAAACGCTAAGTTAGACCCTCCACTTTTTAAAAATTGTTTATGGCTTAACCGTAATGGCGCTAGCTTTAATTCAAGTTCACTTGGCCAGGATAACCAAAAAAAAAAAGAATGACGCAAAGATATCTTTTTCAGCGCATACCTGAGAGTACAATTTCGTATGAAAAGATGTTAAAAAAAAGTCAAAATACGTACTGGGGGGGGGGGGCTACGTTCACTTGGCCCCCCCCCAAATGTTTTTTCGGATTTCTAAAAAACGATAATGGCGCAAGAGTTATTATCGGTGGCGCATATGAGCGCATAACGAGCGCATTCATTTCAAAATAATACGACTATGAAATCTCTCAGTGGGGGGGGGGGCCAAGTTAACGGACCCTAGCGAATTGCCGATCGATGCCGAATAGCCAAATCGTTGACTGCCAACACTGATCACTGATATACCTATATATTATTGCCTTTATTTTAAAGAGGGCGGAGCGGAGAGCGGAGTATTACCTAAATACCTAATAGCTATGATGGTAACTCAATTCTTCTGGGGGGGGGGGGGGTATATCCCCCCCCCCCCCCCCGTAAATACGCCACTACCGGGAGAAATGTTACCCATGCCTATCTTTAAGATTTGGTCGCTTAATTCGAAGAAACGGGATCTGTTATCAATAAAAAAAGAAAGCAACCAACATTGACTTTATTGCTACCACTGGAAAGCATTTTTCAGTAGCTTTCCAACGATGTGTCACAAGTATGGGGTTGCCATTTAGGATTTTTGAAGAGCGGGAGCTGGGGGGGTTAGAACGTCATTCTGGTTCCCCCTCGATACCTCCGAAACGGTTTTGCGCGATTTTCAATATCTTCTTTAGTTTGGAAAATATGGCCGACTGCAAATTTTAAAATTGACACCCCGTATATATCCGCATATGTCAGGTGTGGACTTTTGTCACGTTCATCTGCTACGCAAGTCCAGATAGAATATCGAAATCGAATATAGCACAATACATTCGAAACAAGTCACCCTGCCAAATATTAATAATCATAATTACCCGCTTCAAATAAATAGTAGGAGCATAACGTTAAGTATCACATTACAACAAAACAAGGGAACATGTCGTAACAAAATATGAGTATACAGTAATTAATTCTCAATGCAAAGTGCAATATGTAACTATCAATGTAAATAAACAATATCATATTCATGCAAAAGAAACTAAATGTGCTGCAAGAAATTCACTTATAAATTAACAATGTAGTGTCGATGTTTCTCGTATTGGATATCATCCTTAAGGGAACATACTGTATCTCAATACAAATAATAATACGTCTCGCCGGTATATTGCACATTGTCGTAAAGCGATAGCGTATTGCTGATAAATTTGCTAACTCGGTAAAGGGAGGAGTCGTTCTTGATGACTTTGGGCCTTCGCTTGGCGACGGCGGCGATCGGGGGTAATACCTGATTGGAGGTGTACTCGGGACTTCGCCCGAGTCGAACGTCGACGTTCTGGTTCCACTCGCTGTCCAAGTTGATCGCGGTCTTGCTGTCGTAGATTTGGAGGAGCGTCTCGAGTACCTGGATCGAGCAGCCGACGCTCACCTCGTGATTTTCGACGAAGGGCCGCGCGAGAATCGGACCCCACTCGACCGCGAGGTTGTGCTTGGACATCTTGTTCGACTCCTCGTGTCTGCTGACGTTGACGAGGTGTCTCAGTACGTAGTCGAGGGTTTCGCGTTGCGGAATTTCGGCCATCGTCAGCTCCCTCTTCGTGTTCCGCAGTTTGGTTATTTCAATTCGTTCATCTGAAAATTGGGCGTTTATTTCGTTCTAAAATCCCGCGCCTAGGAATCTTACCAGTGGCCAGCACCAGTCTATTAAATACAGCTTTAGGTATAATCGCCTCCTTTAGATCGACGAAGAAATTCTTGAGCGCCGATGCCAGATCGTGCGGATTGTACTTCTCCATGGAATTGAGGTTGCTACCCTTCTTGCTGATCTTTTTCCTAATCTTCTCCAGCTTGTCGTAGTTTCCTGGTTTCTTATACAGGTGCTCCATGTTAATTCCTCGCTCGATTAGCGGAATGGTTTTCAAGACAAATTCGGGCACCTTCTCCTTGGTGGTCGCACTCAGCGCCTCCAAGTCGAATTTTATATCTGCAATAATTGGCAATTGTGACTTCCCGCAGGTGATGGAAGGACTTACCTTTTTCCAGAGGCGATCGGTGCCTGGTCAAGCTATCGGTGCTCTTCACCAGGTTATCCTTGGAGCTCGCCTTGGTTAGGTTCTCGTTTAAAGCTAACATTAGTGCGTTTTTATCCCTCACTGCGCCCTCCTCCCCCTCCTCGTTGCTGGTTAGCGGACTGCTAGGCTCCTAAATAGTTCGGTCACCAAACGTTCACTCTTAGTAACAACTTACGTGCTTCAATAGCGGAGAGCTGGATATCTTGTAGACGTTCAGGAGAAGCTCCACGACCTTGTTCGCGTTCGTATGGCTGAGCAAGATGTTGTCGTGGCAGTTGTCGGGGGGCCAGATTAGCGTGGGACCCCAAACGATCGAAATATTGTAGGCGTCCATTCGATTCTCTTCGCTGTGCGCCTCCACCTTGAGCAAGTGGTCTAGGAGCGTTAGTAGGGTGGTCTTGTGCGCCTTGTCCATTTTGCTTGTGAGCTGTTTCACGCTGTCGCCGATTTTGGGCGTCAGGTCTAGGTCTGTCAAGCAAATTTGCGCAGTTAGAATTTTAGCACACATTAATACACCATTGGTAGAGGCGACCTTGCGGGACCATTGTAAACAATTGCTTTCTGATTTGGCGCCCAGCGGGCGCAGTCATCAACAATGTTTCAAATTTAGTAGCCCATTGGGCGCAGTTGTTAGTCACAACAACTTTAAAACGATCCCAAGAGGATTATAGACAGGTTCTACTAAACTTCTAGGAAAACTCCAACAAGAATCTTTGAGGATTCGCTCGACACTGGTGTTAAAAGTATCACTTTTTTACACTTCTATGTAAAAGTGATCAAAAATCAAATAAAACCAGTGGCTAGCGAACCGAATGTGAGCCCGGCACAAACCTAGGCAGAGTAAAGGTCTGACAGGCTTGTTATTACACTTGTATGTAAAAGTGATACTTTAGAACCAGTGCCGAGCGAACCGAAGATGAGCTCGGCACAAACCTAGGCAGAGTAAAGGTCTGACAGGCTTGTTAATACACTTGTATGTAAAAGTGATACTTTAGTAACCAGTGCCGAGCGAACCAAAGCTCGGCACAAACCTAGGCAGAGTAAAGGTCTGATAGGCTTGTTACACTTGTATGTAAAAGTGATACTTTAGAACCAGTGCCGAGCGAACCAAAGGTGAGCTCGGCACAAACCTAGGCAGAGTAAAGTTCTGATTTTCTACACTGCCTAGGCTTGTTCAAAACTACGACTTTTGCCTGCCTTTGGCTCGTTTGGGAAAATTAGGAATGATTACGGGCAGAGTATCTGATAGGCTTGTTATTACACTTGTATGTAAAAGTGATACTTTAGAACCAGTGCCGAGCGAACCAAAGGTAGGTGTTATTACACTTGTATGTAAAAGTGATACTTTAGAACCAGTGCCGAGCGAACCGAAGATGAGCTCGGCACAAACCTAGGCAGAGTAAAGGTCTGATAGGCTTGTTATTACAATTGTATGTAAAAGTGATACTTTAGAACCAGGGCCGAGCGAACCAAAGGTGAGCTCGGCACAAACCTAGGCAGAGTAAAGTTCTGATGGAGCAGGGCAGATTTCTCCACTGCCTAGGCTTGTTCAAAACTACGACTTTTGCCTGCCTTTGGCTCGTTTGGGTTTAAAATAGACGAATAGGAATGTTATTACGTTTGTATGTAAAAGTGATACTTTAGAACCAGTGCCGAGCGAACCAAAGGTGAGCTCGGCACAAACCTAGGCAGAGTAAAGGTCTGATAGGCTTGTTATTACACTTGTATGTAAAAGTGATACTTTAGAACCAGTGTCGAGCGAACCAAAGGTGAGCTCGGCACAAACCTAGGCAGAGTAAAGGTCTGACAGGCTTGTTATTACACTTGTATGTAAAAGTGATACTTTAGAACCAGTGCCCAGCGAACCAAAGGTGAGCTCGGCACAAACCTAGGCAGAGTAAAGGTCTGATAGGCTTGTTATTACAATTGTATGTAAAAGTGATACTTTAGAACCAGGGCCGAGCGAACCAAAGGTGAGCTCGGCACAAACCTAGGCAGAGTAAAGTTCTGATGGAGCAGGGCAGATTTCTCCACTGCCTAGGCTTGTTCAAAACTACGACTTTTGCCTGCCTTTGGCTCGTTTGGGTTTAAAATAGACGAATAGGAATGTTATTACGTTTGTATGTAAAAGTGATACTTTAGAACCAGTGCCGAGCGAACCAAAGGTGAGCTCGGCACAAACCTAGGCAGAGTAAAGGTCTGATAGGCTTGTTATTACACTTGTATGTAAAAGTGATACTTTAGAACCAGTGCCGAGCGAACCAAAGGTGAGCTCGGCACAAACCTAGGCAGAGTAAAGGTCTGATAGGCTTGTTATTACACTTGTATGTAAAAGTGATACTTTAGAACCAGTGCCGAGCGAACCAAAGGTGAGCTCGGCAGAGTAAAGTTCTGATGGAGCAAGGCAGATTTCTACACTGCCTAGGCTTGTTCAAAACTACGACTTTTGCATGCCTTTGGCTCGTTTGGGATTAAAATAGGCGAATAGGACTGTTATTACATTTGTATGTAAAAGTGATACTTTAGAACCAGTGCCGAGCGAACCGAAGGTGAGCTCGGCACAAACCTAGGCAGAGTTAAGTTGTGATGGAGCAAGGCAGATTTCTACACTGCCTAGGCTTGTTCAAAACTACGACTTTTGCATGCCTTTGGCTCGTAGGGATTAAAGGCGAATAGGACTTTTATTACATTTGTATGTAAAAGTGATACTTTAGAACCAGTGCCGAGCGAACCGAAGGTGAGCTCGGCACAAACCTAGGCAGAGTAAAGGTCTGATAGGCTTGTTATTACACTTGTATGTAAAAGTGATACTTTAGAACCAGTGCCGAGCGAACCAAAGGTGAGCTCGGCACAAACCTAGGCGAAGTAAAGATCTGATGGAGCAGGGTAGATTTCTCCACTGCCTAGGCTTGTTAAAAACTACGACTTTTGCATGCCTTTGGCTCGTTTGGGTTTAAAATAGGCGAATAGGACTGTTATTACATTTGTATGTAAAAGTGATACTTTAGAACCAGTGCCGAGCGAACCAAAGGTGAGCTCGGCACAAACCTAGGCGGAGTAAAGATCTGATGGAGCAAGGCAGATTTCTACACTGCCTAGGCTTGTTCAGAACTACGACTTTTGCATGCCTTTGGCTCGTTTGGGATTAAAATAGGCGAATAGGACTTTATTACGTTTGATGTAAAAGTGATACTTTAAAACCTAGGCGGAGTAAAGATCTGATGGAGCAAGGCAGATTTCTACACTGCCTAGGCTTGTTCAGAACTACGACTTTTGCATGCCTTTGGCTCGTTTGGGATTAAAATAGGCGAATAGGACTGTTATTACGTTTGTATGTAAAAGTGATACTTTAAAACCGAACCGAAGGATATAGATTTAAAGGAGCACATTTTCCATGCCCATAACTCTGGGAGCTTTAGATCTCAGTGAAGGTGGCGCTATAAACGTCACGTGGGCCAGTTATAGACGCATGTGTTCGTTTGTTCTAAACATCAGGATTTGATTTGGACCACCACCTACTTTCCTGCTACCTACCCTTGACCCTTTATCGAGGTGAATTCGGATTAGGGCGATTATGCCGTTTGGATTAACTAACGCTCTCGCGTGACCTTCTCATGACCCGGTATGCGCGCTATCATTTCAAATCGAGTTTCAAATTAAATTCGAATGATTCATTCCGTTGCACTGTCCGGTTGCGTGTCACCGAACGCGATCATGGGTATTTGTTTTCAATTAACGCGTACAGGCCCGCAGGCCTTCCCTGCATTTTACCATGAAGTTTTCGACGTATGTAAATAAATAGCGCTCAAGGCCGCTTCTAATATTCCACCTTATCGATTATGACTGTACGCATTTGATACGGAACGGGAAAACCACACACTTACCGATGAACTTAAACAAGTTCTCGTACAGCTTATGAGGTATCAGCGGTTCCTTCAGCTCGCGAAAGAACAACTTCAGGCTTCCCGTGAGGACGTCGCTATCGTTCTTAAACTCGTCCAGAATCTTCAAATTGTTCTTGTCGATGTTGAAGCGGATCTTCTGGATCGTCGCGAGGTTTCCCGACGCCCTGTATAGACCGACGCTCTCGATGTTCTTCGGTAGTTCGATTAGCTTGATGATCTTCAGCACGAATTCGGGCACCTCCTGCTTGTAGGTCTCGTATAAGTGCCTCAGGGTGTTCCCGAATATAGGCTCGTTTTTTATGATTCCCTTCTTCTCCAGTAGGTCCTTGCTGGATCGTTTCCCGAGCAGCTTCAGCAGTTTATATCGAATCTGAGATTTTTCTTCCGGCGATTGCAGCTTGGCCAATATCGGCCTTTCCACGCCGTAGTAGGTCTCCAGGTCGACGATGGCGCAGTTCATCTCTTTTACGTTATCGAACTGGAGCTTGTAGATTTTGCACACATCTTCAGAGGTCTTCTTGATGGACACTTCCTTTTTGCTGATCGGCTTGTAGTCGGTGAGGCACAAATTGTCGATGATTATCTCCTGAAAGGACAACGATCATTTTTGGGCAACTTTGAGGAGGCACGCACTCACTTCGCCTCCTTTCTCGGTGACCAGCAGCATGTGATCGTTGTGGATGCGCAAGAATTGGCTCTTGTTCAGCTTCTTCGTGCACCCGTCGTACGTAAGCTTCGCGACGCCCTTCAGGTCGATCGGGTTGAACGACACCAACTGCTCGCAATTCCCTGTCGCGCTGCAATTAAACTGCCATCACTGTCGAAATGATCGGACCGAGACTTACAACTCGTGCACCGTCTGCGAGCGGAAACTCGGCCTTCCGACGCAATCGCCGCCGTGCCTCAGATCGACTGTCTCGATGGGAAACGGCTGCGCCTGGTGCGAGTGCTGGTGGCCGCCGCCCTTCTCCTCGTTAATTTTTTCTATGCTCGCGTATTCCTGAAACAGAAAGTGTAATTGTTTTAAACCGCAAGCAAGTGCAGCCGTTTAATTTTATCTACAGCACTTTTGATTAGATACAGGAAGAGGATGTTAACAGTTGATTTAATAATCGTGCGCGGATCGAGTCAAAATGGCGGCGCAAATTGTGCAACTCCAATCAAATGTTAGGGACGCAAACGGTGAATTTTTCCAAGTCTTGGAGGCGAGTTTTCTTTTGAAGATCTGCGATACTATCGGTTTGGCGGAGAAAGCCGAAGAAACCGAAGAAGTCCAATCGCGCGAGGGTTTCGAAGAAGCGAATATGGCACTGCGGATGCTGAAGAAGCCAAACTTGTGGACTATGAAAGCTTGACAAGTCAAGGGACCGAAAAATCCGTGGAAGAAAATACCTCAAAAAGCAACGAAGACCTTAAAAAACTTACACTTTGTAAGGGTTCTTAGAGACTGCTCAAGGAAGTCATTGAAAACACGCGAAAACCTAGTAATTCTGAAGATGATGAGGACCTTTGGAAACACTTTGAATTTAGTTTCATCTCGTAGAATGATTTTAAAGGCTCTTCAGCACTAAACAACTAAAGGCTCTTACAAACTTTTAAGGTTACACTCTTAATGCTCTTAAAGAGTAAAGGTTGATTCAAGGTTTTTGAAACCTCAACACTCTTCTCAAGGTAATGGTTTTTGGGGGCTATTTTCTAATAATCCTTCAAGACTCATTAAGGTGCTTGAAGACTTTCAAAAATTCCCAAACCTCTGATTTTAAACAAAACAAAGAGCTCCTTAAGGTTCTTCAAAGGTCTTCAACAGAAAACACTGTTCAAAAGCGAATGAAAAGTTCTCAAAATGCATTCAAAAATTCACGGAATCTCTTGGAGACTCGAAAACTTATGGAGGGTCTCAACCCTATGAATGTTGTTATTAGGTACTCTTAAAGGTGGAGAGGGAATTTGAAGATTCGATATGAGCCTTAGGAGAATTTGAGCGGAGCTCAATGGAAGATTGACGACTTCGAGGAAGTTTTAAAGAGGAACATGAGAGAAACAAGCTTTTATAGACTCGGTAAATTCTGGTTTCAAAAGTCTTGATCGCTTTCGAGGCTGAGTCGAAAGTGACCAAGAGGGTGTGGAGGGCTCTCCAATCTCCATACTTTTTTACGTAGCACCGGGGGGTCAAGGGGTATGTACTCCCAGGAAAAGACGCATTCCACGAAGCCGATCAAGAAGGTGTGGAAAACCAAATATTTTGGGAAGAAACGTAGCGCCAGGGGCTCTAGTGGGCATGGAACATCTCTCCAGAAAAAAAGAATTCGATTCCTTTTTCCTGAGTGGTATTTCCTCCGGTGCTACGTTCCTTCCCAAAAACATTGAGAGTCCTCGGCAATCTCTTTCGATGAAGAGTAATCGAATTCTTCTTTCTCTGGGGGATATACATTCCAGACCGCCTGATTTTACGTACCTTCTCAAAATATTTAGAGCCCTCCGCACCCCTTTGATCACTTTTGAGGAAGGGTAATCGGATTCTTTTATTCCTGGGAGGAGGGGGGGGGGATCCATACAGACCTTAACCCCCGGTAATACGTTCCTTCCCAAAATATATAAAGCCCTCTTAATTTCCTGCGTGGCATTCCATAACCCTAACCTGCGGGTGCAAAATTTGTGTTTCCACCTGCACATTTCCACATAATTCCGCACAATGAATTGTCACACGTTTTTTGCTTGGGAGCGTGTAAAAAAATAACAATTATTAAACATACAAAGAAAAACGGATATTGCGAAACGCCCGCTCTGCGAACCCGCAACCGAGATAATCAGAATAACAACATTACAATATTTGTCCTACATTTTCGCTCAATTTTGACTAGTCGCCTTCGGCCAAAATTTGGGAGTTTTCGTTTAATTTCCATTGAGAGAGTGACGTATGGAAATTAAGTCGTCCCTAATTAGCGATCGCCTGGCATAACGAATATAAATGGGTTTTGATTAGTGCACGCTCGTAAATTAATACAGGAAAGTTGATATGTTTTAAATAATTAACCATTTCCTGTGCCCGTTGTTGGAATTGTAAATTGATTTTTGCGGTAGCCCACGAAAAGCTAGGGTGATTGTTATACAAAGAAATGTGTACCTATACAATGTGAGAGTCCCAAAGGAAAAACTTACTCACTTTTATAGGCGTCATGTACTCTTTATGGGTCAAACTTAAAATGGTTAAATCAATTTGCTCAGGAGATACGGGCGACAGACAAAAAAATTGTCAATTTCAGAATGACTTTACATTTTCTATAAGTAATAAGTATTGGGTAAAATTGGGGTCAAAAAATTATCGGTCCTAACCTCATTTTCATAGGACACCCTGTAGATATAAATCTAAAAAGATAGAATATTAAATTTTTTATTCAAAAATATATTGATATTTAAAAAAGATTCTCATTTTTAATCTTTTTTTAATCACTAGAACCTTTTTGTCAATATGCTATATATTTTCAAATTAAAATATACAGGATGTTCCATTTAAAAAATGAGGTTAAATCCTATAACTTTTTTACCTAACCACGTGTACTTATTTAGAAAACGGCAGATTGTTCAACAATCATTATAAAGAAACTTTTGTAAAACACATCTGTATCTCTCTTAATTCTGAAATTGATAATTTTTTTATTTCCCCCGTATATATTAAGCGAGCGAATATTTTCAAATTTTGATTTTACCATTTCAAGTCTAACCCAAAAAGAGCACATGACGCCCATATTTCTTTTTCGTTAGCATATTATAAAAGTGTCGAAAATGGGAACTTCCTGTACAAAACAACTAAACTGCTAATGAGTCAATGAATACTGAATGCCTAAAACAGCAAATTAAACAAAAATGTTATGTATTGTAGCGAATATTCCGGAAATCCCGAGACGCCGTGGCGCTTCTGATGCAGCACTTTTACAAAATTTGAAAAAAGCTGTTTTTTCTCTAATATTATAAACACTCTCTTTAAGAAACTTCAAAAAACACAAGGTACAAATTGAGGTTATATTAATATAATGACCTCTTTGAGTCCAAGTACTAAAAAACGAAAAAAACTCAATTTATGGTCCTTTATGCCATTTAAAAAATAAAAAAATGAATTATGAATTGAAATGTGTACCTACAATGTGAGAGTCCCACATGAAAAATTTACTCACTTTTATAGGCGTCATGTACTCTTTATGGGTCAAACTTAAAATGGTTAAATCAATTTGCTCAGGAGATACGGGGGACAGACAAAAAATTGTCAATTTCAGAATGACTTTACATTTTCTATAAGTAATAAGTATTGGGTAAAATTGGGGTCAAAAAATTATCGGACCTAACCTCATTTTCATAGGACACCCTGTAGATATAAATCTAAAAAGATAGAATATTAAATTTTTTATTCAAAAATATATTGATATTTAAAAAAGATTCTCATTTTTAATCTTTTTTTAATCACTAGAACCTTTTTGTCAATATGCTATATATTTTCAAATTAAATTATACAGGATGTTCCATTTAAAAAATGAGGTTAAATCCTATAACTTTTTTACCTAACCACGTGTACTTATTTAGAAAACGGCAGATTGTTCAACAATCATTATAAAGAAACTTTTGTAAAACACATCTGTATCTCTCTTAATTCTGAAATTGATAATTTTTTTATTTCCCCCGTATATATTAAGCGAGCGAATATTTTCAAATTTTGATTTTACCATTTCAAGTCTAACCCAAAAAGAGCACATGACGCCCATATTTCTTTTTCGTTAGCATATTATAAAAGTGTCGAAAATGGGAACTTCCTGTACAAAACAACTAAACTGCTAATGAGTCAATGAATACTGAATGCCTAAAACAGCAAATTAAACAAAAATGTTATTACTTATCCCTCTCTTGTTTTTTTGGGCCCTCAACAGGCATGCGCCCAATTACAGAGTGACCCGCATAATGCTATTATGTATTGTAGCGAATATTCCGGAAATCCCGAGACGCCGTGGCGCTTCTGATGCAGCACTTTTACAAAATTTGAAAAAAGCTGTTTTTTCTCTAATATTATAAACACTCTCTTTAAGAAACTTCAAAAAACACAAGGTACAAATTGAGGTTATATTAATATAATGACCTCTTTGAGTCCAAGTACTAAAAAACGAAAAAAACTCAATTTATGGTCCTTTATGCCATTTAAAAAATAAAAAAATGAATTATGAATTGAAACTGTTATTCTCGGCCAACAGAATTACTTCTTTTTTTGACAACGATTGGCCTACGGACCTACGTTGGATAAAAGTTTTAAAAAAAATATATTTGTCGTTATATTCTAAGACATTTAATGATAATAAATACTTTATTAAAAAAAAACTGTCAAGTAAAGATTTTAACAAATCCGAGAAAAAACCCGTTTTGTCTTTTAATTTTTAAAACATGAAAAAAGTAATTATGATTTGAAAATATAACATACATAGAATTCAATCATTGAATATAGTCCAACAAACATTTAAGAAAAATCAAATTTTGTTCTTATATTCTAATCAAAAAAATATGGTCGATTTAAAAATTAAAAAATATCAGTTTTGGTGCTGAATTCTTTAAAAAAAACTAAAACAAAGTATGAATTAAAACTATCTCATAATTGGTTATGATTACTATTGAGAATTAAACATTTAAAAAAATTAAAATCTTTACTCGGCTAATAGAATTTACGTTTTTGTTTGTCCACTATTAGGCGAACAGTGTGATTCAAAGTTTCAAAAATAAATTCTATCTAAAACATTTTTGAAAATTTTAAATATTTTATTTCAAAAATTAAAAAAATAAAATTATAAATTCAGTTTACATGGCATACAAGTAACATAAGTACCTCTTGAGGACTATGGTCAAATACTAGAAAGTTATAAATTGAATCTAGATTACACAAAGCTGATAATTTTTTTTTCATATAAATTACAATTTAAAAAAATTAGTTTTTGATACCATTATTCTCTCCAAAAATTAGATTAATTA